GTGAGTGAGTGAGTGGTTGGTGAGTGGGTGGGTGAGTGGGTGGGTGAGTGGGTGAGTGATTAGGTGAGTGGTTGAGTGGTTGTGTGGTTGTTTGGTTGAGTGGTTGAGTGGGTGAGTATGTGAGTGGGTGAGTGAGTGAGTGGGTGGTTGAGTGGTTGAGTGGGTGGGTGGGTGAGTGGGTGAGTGGTTGAGTGGGTGGGTGGTTGAGTGGGTGGGTGGTTGAGTGGTTGAGTGGTTGAGTGGTTGAGTGGTTGAGTGGTTGAGTGAGTGGTTGAGTGGTTGAGTGAGTGAGTGAGTATGTGAGTGGGTGAGTAGGTGGGTGGTTGAGTGGGTGGTTGAGTGGTTGAGTGAGTGGTTGAGTGGTTGAGTGAGTGAGTGAGTATGTGAGTGGGTGAGTAGGTGGGTGGTTGAGTGGGTGGTTGAGTGGTTGAGTGAGTGGTTGAGTGGGTGATACACAGATCACAGGTGAAGGCACGATTACGGTGAGAAGTACTTGACGTTGGCGAGTGCCTTGACGCGTGCGGCGGCGAGCAGCGACTGCGCGGCGATGCGGTGGCTTGAGGGTGATCTCAGGTGGGAGCGTATCCTCAGGACGTCGAGGCGGACGACGGCGATGTGCAGCAGGTACAGGAGCGACAGCGACCAGAGGGCTAACAAGAGGAAAGTGAAGAAGTTGAGATATGTTGAAGGATTATTTTAGGCACATTTTAAGGGCGATTTGGGGGAATTTGGGGAAAGGCGATTTTAGGTGGAGGAGGCAGTGAGGCACTGGGGAAGGTGGGTGGACAAGGCGGGGGAGGTGAAGGGGCGAGAGAGGGCGATGGAGGAGAGAGATGGGTGGAGGTAAGGCGGTTTGGGAGGTGGAGGGAGAAGGTGGAAAATGAGGATTTGGGTGAAGGACGTCGACGGAGGAGGTGATGGAAGGGGTGAGGCAGGGAGCGAAGCGACCAGTGAAAGAGGAGGTGGTTGAGTGGGTGGTTGAGTGGGTGGTTGAGTGGGTGGTTGAGTGGTTGAGTGAGGTGAGTGGGTGGTTGAGTGGGTGGTTGAGTGGGTGGTTGAGTGGTTGAGTGAGGTGAGTGAGTGGTTGAGTGGTTGAGTGGGTGGGTGGTTGAGTGAGTGAGTATGTGGTTGAGTGGGTGAGTGGTTGGGTGAGTGAGTGGGTGGTTGAGTGATTAGGTGAGTGGGTGGTTGAGTGGGTGGTTGAGTGGTTGAGTGGGTGGTTGAGTGAGTTGGTGAGTGGTTGAGTGGGTGGGTGGTTGAGTGAGTGAGTGGTTGAGTGGGTGGTTGAGTGGTTGAGTGGTTGAGTGAGTGGTTGAGTGGTTGAGTGGGTGAGTGGGTGAGTGGTTGAGTGGGTGGGTGAGTATGTGGGTGGGTGAGTGAGTGGTTGAGTGGGTGGTTGAGTGGGTGGGTGGTTGAGTGGGTGAGTGAGTGGTTGAGTGGGTGAGTGGGTGGGTGAGTGGTTGAGTGGTTGAGTGAGTGGGTGGTTGAGTGGTTGAGTGGGTGAGTGGGTGGGTGGTTGAGTGATTGAGTGGGTGGGTGGTTGAGTGGGTGAGTGGTGGTTGAGTGGGTGAGTGAGTGGTTGAGTGGGTGAGTGGGTGGGTGAGTGGTTGAGTGGTTGAGTGAGTGGGTGGTTGAGTGGTTGAGTGGGTGAGTGAGTGAGTGAGTGGGTGGGTGAGTGGGTGGTTGAGTGGTTGAGTGGGTGGGTGAGTGGGTGAGTGGGTGATTAGGTGAGTGGGTGGTTGAGTGGTTGAGTGGGTGGGTGAGTGGGTGAGTGGGTGATTAGGTGGGTGAGTGGGTGGTTGAGTGGGTGAGTGGTTGAGTGGGTGAGTGAGTGGGTGATTAGGTGAGTGGGTGGTTGAGTGGGTGATACACAGATCACACGTGAAGGCACGATTATGGTGAGAAGTACTTGACGTTGGCGAGCGCCTTGAGGCGTGCGGCGGCGAGGAGCGACTGGGCGGCGATCCTGTGGCTTGCGGGTGATTTTAGGTGGGAGCGTATCCTCAGCACGTCGAGGCGGACGACGGCGATGTGCAGCAGGTAGAGGAGCGACAGCGACCAGAGGGCTAGCAATAGACACATGAATGGCCATCTGATTATGCGAAGGTATTCGTCGCATTGCTCGAATAATTTTCCAAAGTAATTAGAATGTAACACCTTGTGTAATTGGCTGCAGAAATCCTTACACTTCTTCACTGTGTCACCACTATTCAACGTCGACGCCTCGCCGAAGCTGAATCCATACTGGTAGAATGTGGATGATACTCCTTTACACTGGACTATTGAAGAACACTGACATGTGTCATCTGCTTTCTTCTCATCCTCAACGACGCCATGCTTGCCACTCCTGCACTTGTCTCCTCTGAGACATCCACGGCAGCCCCAGTCTGCACAAGTGATAGAACAGAAGGCATTATATAAGTTGTTGAGTAGATCCCAGAACGTCCATGGGAGGTATATGGCCCATGAGAGGTATGTGTTACAGTGCTTCTCAGCAAAGTAAGCATACGTATCGCCGCAGAGTGATGCAACATACGGAGCGCACAACGCTTTTCCGACACGATCATTACATGCTGACGTCATCGCCAGACTATACACATCAGAGTATGCAGGAAGATGGTCCTTCCCTCCATGGTTACTGTGTGTATTACGGTACGCATTAGTAAGTGCAGCTGTTAGTTTCGTCGGTTGATCATACAGGTTAATGGACACACTCTCAATGGATGATTCAACGGACTTCTTAATGCGACTTGTAGCTTCTGTCTTGGGACTATTCCAACCACTTACTAGTGATAAAACAAACCCGAACTGCTCAGGTAATGAAGCCGGGGTCTTTGGTGAGAGACAGAATAGGGATGACAAATAGAAGTTGGAGAAGAATTTGTCCAGAATATCACATATCTCCTCACCCTTACGCGTAGACCCAGAGAAACCTCTGAAGCCTAGAGGTGTTAAGCATGGCATGCCTTTCTTGCCATTTGGACATGTTGAACATACAGAGCGACAGCCAATAGAAGAAACGTCATGAGGTAAGTGACCAGGTAACGAGTCCGTTAGGTAACTCATTAAAGGTGAAGTTGGTTGGCAATTTGGTTTTGTGTTTGCCTGGCACGTAGGTTGGCACTTTGGTCGGCTGTTTGGTTTGCTATTTGAATGATTATTACATGGTGATTTGGTAGTGAAGACATCCCTGCCGTAGAGGCATTGCGACCAACCGCTATGCTTAGTACTTAGCTTGCATCGGTTGAACAAATATCGAAGCTGTGGTAATAGTCTACGCAAAATGTCAAGAAGCATATCCAGGCATTGAGATGGAATTGAAGGATATGATAGGCTAAGGTGGTTGGTGCAGAAGTCAGCGGCGTACGTTGTGTATTCGTCGCCGTGACCGGCGATTGACGTCAAGATGTCATAGGATATCGAACAAATATGGTCGAGTGCAGTATTTATGTGATCATATGTGATTCTGTTTGGATAAGCATCTATGTAGTAGGACTTCAGATCATCTAATTCTACTTCAAATTCGTCGCCGCCCTGTATGGTTTTGGGCTTAGGCTTCTGCAGGAGGCTAGTGAAACCGTCACGCAATAGAGTGGAATACGCAGCGTTATACGGCAGACCTGAGAACCAAGAAAGCATTTCATTAACACTGCACGGCGTCTTCTTGGAGGTGAAAGTTGCTATGTGACCGACGGAGTAATACTCTTCTAGGTGACGGTGAAGGCATTTCAGTAAGTCAAAGATGTCGAAGTTATCATGTTTCTTCTTGTTACCGTGCTCATCTTTTTCAATGGATTCACAGTCCTTGAGATGTTTTATTTTTTCCGTGTTCTGTAATTTCATCTCGTGGAGCTTCTGAAATACCTTCTCACCTGTCATATCTTCATGACGCTTCAACTCGCCATCTTGTGACTTAGAGTGGCTGGCAACACGGTAACCATAACTTTTAAATAGTTCTCCCAGATCTGAAGACCGACTAATTGTACTCTTGGAAAAACGTTTCTTACATCCACTTCTTAACCCATCAAGATCACCCTTCACCCTCTCCAGTATGGTCAGGCAGACCTTGGCGCAGTTGCGGCCCTCAGCGGAAAGGACTTTATCTGCTGGTTTTTTGGTTTTGTCTTGTTCAGTCAAAGGACCAAACCTTTTCCCACTGTATTTATTCACGTACGCGTGTGAGAGTTGCTCGGTGAATTGCGTCATGCCGGCCTTGAGGGCGTCGAGGTTGACATAAGGAAGGGCACCGAATTCCTGAGGAGATAAATCTCCGAGAATATTTCTTAGTGTGTCAAGCAAATTCACAAATTCATGATCGAAATGCTTTGTGATATAAATGCTGTCAAGTACGTCATTATGTGCTTTTTTAATTTTCTCAACCTTAGTTTTGTAAGCGTGCCTAGTTGCAATCTGAGACACAAGTAATGCTTCCATATCGTTCAACATGTATGTAAATATTCTGTTAGAATAATGTTTGATAATTTGTACTGTCTCCTTGAATTTCGTAGCGTGATCGTTTGTTTCCTTAACTGCCATGGCTGGCTTGGGAAACGCCTTTTCAAGCTTGGTGAGTATATTCATGGAACTTGTTGACTCAGAAAATTTGGGAAGGCGATTTTCAAAAGTAAATGATGCGCCACTCAGAGCCTTGAAAAGGCCTTTTACGCCTGTCACTTTATCTTCATCAATTATTTTCCTCACCTCCGCCAATTTTCGCTCAACCAGCGTATGCAGCGCCGTCAGGTCCGCGACGTGCTGCTCGGCGAAGAGGGAGCGGACGGAGTTTGTAATGTTGTCTTGTGCTGTGTTGACTTCATTAATGACGTTATTTATGGCCTGTGTCAGCCGTTGATCGGCGTCGATGACGGCATTGCCAATGTCACTGAGTTTAGCTACCAATATAGATTTCAACTCCTCCATCTTATCGGCCGCAGCTTTTCCAATTTTTTCGATACTTCCTTCAGTATTCACATCGTCGTTTTGCAGTTTTTCAAGTTTCTCAATAACTTCCTTCTGAATATCTTCGAGTTTATGTAGCATTGAGCCGACAGCCTCTTTCTCTTTTAACACGTCACCAAGCAAGTTAATTTTTTCCTTCGCCTTCCCCAATGCTTTGTCGACTGTATGGCCGAAGTTACCTACGTCGAACTGTTTTCTTATTTCGTCAACCTTCTTAATAGCCTCATCCACGTTGGTGCCGAGGTTGTAAGTGACACTGCCGTCTGGGTCAGTCGTGGAGGTTATCGATTTAAGTTCATTAGCGGCTTGCCTTGCAGCGGCATAAACGCACGATAAGATGGACTTTGCTGCGGGTTCAAGTACAGAGCGATCGGTGTTGAACCTTAGACCATGGGAATTCTTCTGCAACTGCGAATGTACGTAGTCCACCATATAATCAGTCTGATCTGGATCAACTCGTGTGGCAAAATCGTTAAAAAATGGCTGAATATAATTCAAATTCTCTGTAACACTTTCCGTGAATTTGCGTGTTTTAGTTGCATGGCCACCCATTGTTGTAATGTATGTAGTTATTACGGATCTCACCTTCCCTAGCGCAGCAGGGTTTGTATTTCCAATACTCTCAACATACTGCTTTACCGGATGCTTGTCAAAAACACCATTTAACCACCCCTTTAAAACCGACGTCTCAAATTCCCCATACTTATTGAACCTCCAACCGTACGCTTGCAATCCGCTTACTATTTTATCAAGGTCTCCTGGGGTGGTTGGATTATCTTTATTTCTCAAGCCTGTAACAAGTTCTTTAATCTTTTTTTGAAGCTCGGACCAATTGTGATCGACGCTGACATTGCCTACCTTGGCGCCATTACCCTTAACCGCATTGGTCAGCTCCCCGAACTCCCTTCGAGCCGTTTCCACCAAATTCTCAAGCTGCACTTTTTTATTTTTCAACGTGTCATAAACGTTACCAACTGCCCACTTTATGTCAGTAAACTTCCCGGTAATTTGAGTCTTACATTCTTCATCGAATTTTACCCCTCCGGCACCAAGCAAAGCATCAGTTGCATCCATTAAGCTCTTATTAACAGCATTAATCTGCTCATTCTTTTGCTCTCTTAACTGACCAATTTTCTTACCAATCTCACTGAACTGCATGAAAATTGTCTCATCCACCTCCCTCACCTGCTTCTCCAACTCCCCCTTCCCAGCGCTCTCCTTCAGCACCTGCACAGCGCTTTTCACAGGCTCTATCTTATGCATCAATTTGTCACGCAACACAGGATCTAGCTGACTAATATTATTAGAGTGAAGGCTAGTTAAGTCTGCATCTATCTGACTAAGTGTCTGGGTCCATGACCTCAGCTGGTCGGCTAGTGGCTTGTCTCGTTGCCTTGAAACATCTTCGACATATTTACCTGAAGAAGAATGTAATTCAACAAGTAACTTACCTAATTCAAATGATACTCCTGTAGTCAATGTGTCCACCTGCTCACCATGTTTTTTCAACCACTCACTTACCTGAGTCACGGCCTTCCCGAAGGCCTGACGGCCTTTACCTACACTATTGTTAAGAGTCTCAATAACTGAAGTAATATTATTTTGTGAATCATTATCATATGTTGCAACGTTATCATCCTCCTTAACACTCTCAAGAACTCCATGAAGGAAAGACATCACCGCGTTGCACAGCCTGTCGAGGTCCGAGTACACAATCCCTTCTCCGGTGTAATTCCCTTTCTCGTAGCCGAGAAATTTTTCGAGGCCTCCACAAAGGCTTTCTAAAAGGTTTTTACAACTTTGTTCGTTAACATGATTTTTTTGAATTTTCCCAGCATATTCACAAAGCCCATTCAGTGTATCAAGAGACCTCTTGGAAGCCTGATGAGACTCAAGAGATTTAGAAAGCTTGTCAATTTCAGAGGCATTTTGAGGGGATTGATAGGCATCTTTAATATTAAAAGGGAGGTGATATGGCACATTTTTAGGCGATTTGGGGGAATTTGGAGAAAGGCGATTTTAGGTCAAGGAGGCAGCGAGGGAGGTGGGTGGACAAGGCGAGGGAGGTGAAGGGGCGAAAGAGGGCGATGAGGGAGGAAGATGGGTTGAAGTAAGGCGATCTTGGAGGTGGAGGGAGGAAGTGGAAAACGAGGATTGGGGTGAAGGACGCCGACGGAGGAGGTGAGGGAGGGGGGTGAGGCAGGGAGCGAAGCGACAAGTGAAAGAGGGAGGTGAGTGAGAGAGTGAGTGGGTGGTTGAGTGAGTGAGTGGTTGGGTGGTGAGTGGGTGGTTGAGTGGTTGAGTGGGTGAGTGAGTGGGTGAGTGGTTGAGTGGGTGGGTGAGTGGTTGAGTGGGTGGTTGAGTGGATGAGTGAGTGAGTGGTTGAGTGGTTGAGTGGGTGGTTGAGTGGGTGGGTGAGTGGGTGGGTGGTTGAGTGGTTGAGTGGGTGGTTGAGTGGGTGGGTGAGTGGGTGAGTGGGTGAGTGGGTGAGTGAGTGGGTGAGTAGTTGAGTGGGTGGGTGGGTGGTTGAGTGGTTGAGTGGGTGAGTGGGTGGGTGAGTGGTTGAGTGGGTGATTAGGTGAGTGGTTGAGTGGTTGAGTGGGTGAGTGGTTGAGTGGGTGAGTGGTTGAGTGAGTAGGTGGGTGGTTGAGTGGTTGAGTGGGTGGGTGGGTGGTTGAGTGAGGTGGGTGATACACAGATCACACGTGAAGGCACGACTATGGTGAGAAGTACTTGACGTTGGCGAGTGCCTTGACACGTGCGGCGGCGAGGAGGGACTGTGCGGCGATGCGGTGGCTTGAGGGCGATCTCAGGTGGGAGCGTATCCTCAGGACGTCGAGGCGGACGACGGTGATGTGCAGCAGGTAGAGGAGCGACAGCGACCAGAGGGCTAATAATGTATTCATGAATGGTGATCTGATGCAGTATATGAATTCGTCGCACTCTTTAAATAGGTTCCTGAAATGGTCGCCGTGTAGAATTGTCGACAAGATTGTCTGGAAATTGTAGCATCTCTTTACATGTGCATTTTTGTTCAATCTTGATGCTGAACCAAATGTGAATCCATTGCTATACAGTGTAGGCGATACGCCTCTGCAGCCAACAATCGATGAGCACTTACAGGATGTTGCCGTTTTACCATGCTCACCGCGTCGACATTTATCGGCCTGTTGACACCCATTACATGCCCAATCCTGACAAGCGATATCACAGAAGGAAACGTATAGATTGTTGAGTAAGTCCCAAAATGTCCAAGGTAAATACAATGCCCAGGATAGGTAAAGGTTGGCGTGTTTCTTGGCCAGATAGTTGTAGGCGTCGGTGGACAACGCATATAGGTAGGGAGCACAGTCTATCTTTCTGGCTTTCCTTTACAGCAGTCAGTGGTTGTAAGGCCCCTAAGGTGTGGATTTTGACATTCCGAGTGAGTAGCGGAGGAAGATCCGTAAGCTGCGGTGAGAGCATCGGTGAGTTGAGACGGATCGACATATAACTGGATGGACTGATCAGTAATGGATGCTACGACATCTGACTGCAATGACCCTTTGTTTTCGTCTGGTTGACCATTACGCCAACCACTAACTATGGACAAGGCAAATCCTAAGTGCTCCGGTAGTGTAGTCGGAGGTTTAGGGGCCAGACAGAATAAGGCTGTAAGATAGAAATCGTCGAAGAAGTTTCTAAGCACTTTACATAGTTCGTTACCATGCTTCGGACTGCCCGAGAAACCGCGGAAGCCGAGGGGCGTGAGACAGTGCATTCCTCGTTTACTACCAGGGCACGTTAAACATTTGGGAGTGCAACCGACAGACTGCAATTGATGAGGTAAATAACCATGCAAGGAGTCAGTTAGGTAGGACTGAAGCGGGGACGTTGGTCGGCAGTTTGCTTGGCAGTTTGCCTGGCACCTAGGTTGGTCAGTTGGTTGGTCACTTGCTTTGTCAGTTAAGTGGTCATTACATTGCCAGTTTGATATTTCGACAGCTTGGCCGTAGAGGCAGTCAGCCCATCCGTAATGATCAGGCCGACGATTGCACTGGGTATGCAAAAACCTCAGTGGCGGGAACAATTTTTTAAGGATGTCAATGAGTAAATCTAAGCATTCTGAACCGCTAGAGGGATATTTAAATGTAAAGGAGTTGTTGAAGTAGTCACAGGAGTAGGTGGTAGAAGCGTTGCCGTGGCCTACTATACTGGTTAGGACGGAAGCGGATTGCAATGTGATATGTTCGATGACATTTTCCAGATGTTGAGCGCCGAATGCTCTTGGGAACGCATCCGTGTAAGGTAACTCATTACCAGATTGCGCATCCTTCGTCTTGACTGCTGTTTTTATGTGCTGCTTAAGCGCATCGTACGCACCGTTATGGCGTAAACCGGAGCACCATGCGAGCATTTCGTAGACTGAACATGGTAGCTTATTAGCGGAGAATGTGGAGATGTGACCGACTTGGTAGTAGGCAGGGAGAGAGTCGACAATCGTATTAATCGCATGCCTAGTGTTTTCAACAGAAGGGAAAACACGAGGATAATCACCGACAAGGCATCCGACGACTTTTGTTCCGTTCATCCCTTCTTTGTTTTGCAACTCGCCGTTCTGTTTATTATTGTCGGACACTACGAAACCATTATCGGAGAAGAATGTCCCAAGCTCCGTGAATTCATTAATTTGATCACCTCTCCAATCCACCTTGCACCTCTTTCTCAACTCACTCAAATTTGTGTTCAGGATGGAAAACACGCTGAGAAAAATTTTAGCAGTCATTTTACTCTCCTCCGTTGGATTATTCGAAAAATGCTCCTGCCACGTAATCGGCTTAGACCCCTCATACCTGTTCACATACCCCTTCTCCAGCTGCTCGACGAAGCGCTCCAGGCTCTTGGGGAAAGCGTCGAGCACGGGATACGCGGGGTTGGCGAATGCTGTGGAGTGGAGTGCTTGGACGGATGTCTTGAGATTTTGCAGCATTCCGGGGACGCGGTGGGTGAAGTGTTTTGCGGCGGACAGGTGGGAGAGGAGGGTGGCCACAGCGGAGTGGATGGCGGAGAGTTGGGGGGAGTATTGAGAGTAAGGGAGATGTTTGGGGAGGTCGATAAATACATACTGGAAAATGTCATATACATAATCTTTTAATTTGGGAGAGAGAGATTCGACATTTTGTTTGTCCTTTAGGTCGTGGAGTTTTTGACCTCCATTATGCTTGTCTCTTAGGACGTTCAAGAAGCCCTTGAGGCCGGTGTTCAGATCGTTCTTAATGATCTCTGTAATTTGTTTAAGTTGGTCGGTGACAATTTCGTGTAGGGCCGAGAGCTCAATTTTTTTGCGGTTGGTGTAGAGTTTCTTAGCTTCATCTTGAACATGTCTGAACATCTGCTCTATTTTTGCATTCACTTCCTTTCGCAATGAATCGACGATGGTTGCGGCCCATCTAGGCGCTTTTACCAGCATATCAATTGATTCTTTAACGCACCTCTCTAGTTCTTCACCAACTAATCCGACTCTCTTCTGCACTCCATTAACATTCTGACCCAGCTCTGTGATGTTGTTCTTAAGCTGAAACAAATCTGCGAAAATACTACAATCGCTTGCCTTTTCACCGTCGTGGCCAACAGTCTTCTTCAACTGTTCGAGCACTGTATCAATTTTTTCTCCGAAAATTTTAAACAAGTTCGCAAGCCCTTTAGCTGATTGGCCTACACCGACACCGTAGTCGGCGTCGACTTCCTTGTCATGCTTTAGAGCCGTACTAATCTTTGTCAACTTTTCATTTATTATACCTGCCACAGCCTTAATCTCCTTCTCCAGTTGTGTCTTAATTGCTGCCATTGTTTTTTCTAAAACCTCCTTTGAGTGTTCGGCGACGGTTTGGGAAATTTTGCCAAGGGAGGTGAGGATATCTGATACTTCGGTCTTTGATATATTTAAAGTATGTCCATTAAATTTCTGGATTGACGATGACAGCTTTGAGGTGTAAGATAGTAGAGTGACACTAAGTTTACTCACATCTGAAAGAGGCTTTTCGCCGCCAATCTGAAACTCTGTGATGTCAAGATCTGAGCCAGGGGTGTTGATTGCGTTGTTTACGTTTTCAAGTTGAGTTTTAAGGTCGGATTTAAAAGCCGAAAAAGCGCTCTCCAACGATTGTCTGTCGACCTTATTGATCCTGCTAATCCCCCTCACCTATCTTCCTCATCGCCTCCTTCACAGGGTTCATAACTTTAGCGTCGAGATGGGAGAAATATGATTTGAGAGAATCGAATGCATTCCCTTCCTTGATGGCTTTCAGTAAATTCACCTGGTCACCAAGTTTGGAATCAATGCTCTCAAGAGTTGTAAGTGTCTGAAGTTTTTTCATGTCATTAGACACATTCTCAACTACCACATTGAGCACTCTTTGAGTCGCAGTAAATTTATTCTTAAATTGCGTAGCAGCTATTTCTAGTCCACATATCCCTTCAACGATATCCCCCCCTTATACCTTTTTTGAATTTCACTAATCCCGATATCCACTGCTTTGAAGGCTCTTTGAAGATCATTATCGACAAACGTTTTCAAATTATAGAATTGCTCATCACGCAAACTTTCAAGCTTATTACACAGTGTTGTGATCTTCTTTTCCAGATACTTCCTTAGATGATCAATGCTTGCATTGAATCTCTCATCCGCATATCTAAGCAGTTCAAACATATTCGTTCCAGTCAGGTCATAAATTCTTCTCAGGTCCTCATTCCCCGCCTCTTCCTTGAACTTTTTCACACCCTGCAACACCGATGAAACATTACATTTTAACTTACTTGATAGTACAGGATCAATCTTCTGTAGAGCACTCTCGGCCTGCCTTGCTGTGTCGATGTACTGACTAGCGCGCTGGGTCCAGGAAGTAATTTGGTCGGAAATCTCATGAGACTTCTCCTCATCGACCTTAATTTTATGTGACTCTATTTTAATACTAAGTGCGCTAAGTGGTGTTTTAATTGCGTCTGTCCGCCTATGTAACTCCACATCATAGTCACGAAGTATACGTATCACAGCATCGATGCAATGAATGAAACCATATTTACCATTATGCATATAAGCTAAAACATTATTAAGGTCTGTGTCAGTTATTAAGCTATAAGTTGTAACGCTCTCATCCTCCTTCACACTCTCAAGAACACCATGAAGGAAAGACATCACCCCGTCGCAGAGCCTGTCAAGGTCCGAGTACACGATTCCTTCGCCCGAGTAGCCTTTGGAAGTTTCTTGGTAACCAAGGAACTTCTCCAAGCCAGAGCATAGGTTATTTAAAAGGTTTTTACAATTGTTATCGTACGCATCTTTATTCTTTTCAACACTCTGATGAAATGTAATAAGCTTTTCAAGACTTTCAAGAGACCCCAACGAAGCCTCATGAGACTTCAATTTAGCCTGCGCAGTTGCAAGAGAATTGGAAAGATCATAGGGAATGGAGATATTTTTAACATTATTTTGAGAGCCTTTTTGCTCATTTTTATGCGCTTCAATTTTGGATTGAATTTCTCTCATTGTGTCAGTAAGCTTCTGACTTACACCAGAAACATTATTGTTAAGCTCCTGAATTTTTGTAGGAATTTCTTCTTTAAGCTTATCTAATTGAGGTTGAAGCTGAGAAATTTCTTTTTCAAGTTCCACAGTTTTTTTCTTAATTTGCTCATCAATCTCAGACTCACCGACGGACGGCGCCTTCTCAGGCGCCTTCCTTTTTTCAGCAATATCTTTTTGCTTTTTAAGGCCATTAATTTCTCTCTCAATTTCATCAATGTCATTAAATGTCTTTTGAAGTTTTTTAAGATGTCCATCACGGAAATTCTTAACATCCTTACAACACCCCTCACCTCCGCAAGATGCTTGTAAAAGCTTAACAAGCTGATTTACATTACTCTGCAAACCATTCAAAATTGCTTTTTTAACTTCTTCTCCACCGCCAATAAAACCCATAAGCTGTCCGGCAAGCTTACCAAGAGAGATGCGGCGGGTATCAATATCCTTCAAGGCTTTTTCTCTAGCATCCTCGGTAAGGTAATGAACTTCATTGTAATGGTCATTGTAGTTGGATTGAAGGTGGATTAAGGGAGAGTTAAAAGGAGTAAAAAGGGGATGAAATGGATTATTTTGAGGGCGATTTGGGGGAGTTTGGAGAAAGGCGATTTTAGGTGACGGAGGCAGTGAGGGAGGTGGGTGGACAGGGTGATGGAAGTGAAGGGGCGAAAGAGGGCGATGAAGGGGGAAGATGGGTTGAGGTAAGGCGATTTCGGAGGTGGAGGGGGAAGGTGGAAAATGAGGATTTTGGGTGAGGGACGCCGACGGAGGAGGTGATGAAGGGGGTGAGGGAGGGAGCGAAGCGACCAGTGAAGGAGGTGGTGAGTGGGTGGGTGGTTGAGTGAGTGGTTGAGTGAGTGGGTGAGTGGGTGAGTGGGTGATTAGGTGAGTGGGTGGGTGAGTAGTTGAGTGAGTAGTTGAGTGAGTGGGTGGTTGAGTGGGTGAGTGAGTAGTTGAGTGAGTGGGTGGTTGAGTGGGTGAGTGGTTGAGTGGGTGAGTGGGTGAGTTGAGTGTGTGGGTGAGTGTGTGGGTGAGTGTGTGAGTGGGTGGTTGAGTGGTTGAGTGAGTGGTTGAGTGTGTGAGTGAGTGTGTGAGTATGTGAGTGGGTGAGTGATTAGGTGAGTGATTAGGTGAGTGGTTGAGTGGGTGATACACAGATGACACGTGAAGGCACGATCACGGTGAGAAGTACTTGACGTTGGCGAGTGCCTTGACGCGTGCGGCGGCGAGGAGGGACTGGGCGGCGATGCGGTGGCTTGAGGGTGATCTCAGGTGGGAGCGTATCCTCAGGACGTCGAGGCGGACGACGGTGATGTGCAGCAGGTAGAGCAAAGAGAGGGACCAGAGGGCTAACAACAGGTAGGAGAAGGGTTCTCTGATGATCCATAGGAATTCATCACATTTTCCGAATAGCTTTGTGAAATAATCAGAATGTAATACATTCTTTAACTGACTGCAGAAATCGGAACACGTTCTAGGCCTACTCTCAGCATTTAATTTCCATGCTTCACCAAAACTTAATCCACATTTATATAATGTTGGTGAAACGCCTTTGCACTGTACCATGGATTTACACTGACAAGTAACATCTTTCTTATCATCCTCGACAACACCATGCTTGCCACGCTTACACTTGTTGCCACGCAGACAACTACGGCATCCCCAGTCCTGGCAGAAGATGTCACAGAACTCATCGTATAGATTTTTGAGACACTCCCAAAATGCCCAGGGAGGTAAATGGACCAGGAGAGGTATAGATTGGCATGCTTGTTGACGAGGTCATGATATGAATAACGGCATAGAGGTGAAACATATGGAACACACTCTATATTTTTGGTCTTGCGACTACATACGCCGAATGACGTGAGATGCGTAAGATGATGATGCGTGCAATCAGTATGATCAGCCGACGCCGATCCATAGGCATCTATGATGGCTTTAGTAAGATCGTCCGGATTATCATAAAGTTTTATGGACGCATTACGGATGGACGACTTAATGCGCTGTTCATAGGGGTCCGTGGCTATGTTACGCCAACCATTAACCAACGTAATCGCAAATGAGAAGTGCTCTGGTAGCGTGGATGGTGGTTTGGGGGCTATGCAGAATAACGGTGAAAGGTTGGCACTGCTGAAGAATCTGCCGAGCGCTTCACACAGCTCTTTGCCTGTCCTTGTAGAGCCAGAAAACCCTCTAAAGCCGAGAGGCGTTAAACATGGCTGCCCGGGCTTGGATTTGGGACAGGTGTTACATGTAGCTCTACAACCGATGGCACTGACATCATGAGGAAGGTGACCGGGTAATGTGTCATTTAGGTAAGACATTAGTGGTGATTTTGGTTGGCACGTAGGTTCACCATTTGGTCGGCACATAGGTTGGCAATTTGATTCCTTGGTTGAATGGTCCTTGCAAGGCCAGTTGGCCGGAGCTATGTCCTTGCCGTATTCACACTGCTCCCAGCCTCCGTGCTGAGTACTGAGTTTACATTTACTCTTTAAAAATCGTAACGTCGGTAATAGTTTACGCAATATATCAAGCAATGTATGCAAACAGTCTGCACCGCTCGTGGGATATTTAAGATTAAGGGAGTTGTTCGATAATTCAACACCGTAGAGGGTATCCTCGTCGCCGGTGCCGAGGATGGTTATGAGCAAGTTGTGTGAATACTTACATAAAATAGGTAAACCATGATCAACGGCGTCTGATAGACGATTTTTGAAATCGGTGTCTGGTGTTTTATCAGTATCATTGGTGTCATACTCATCACAATATTTTACTAACAACTCATAGACACTGTTGAACTGGAGACCACAGCACCACGCAAGCATTTCGTAAATAGAACATGGAACTCTGGGTGACGGAATATGCTTGTTGTGACCTATTTGGTTATATTGATTAAGGTATGGAACAAGAGTTTCGAGAAGCTGAATGACGGATGTGGAGGCGGGGGTATATGGTAGCAAGTCTTTAATTCCCTCGCCTTTGAATTGGGTGTAGGGAAATCTCAACTCCCCTTTCTTGGATGCTTCATTTTCGGCGACACGGAATCCACAGCCTTTCAGGAAACTTCCAAGTGGATTATCTCCCTTGCTATCTGTTTCGCAGATATATTTGTCGCTCCAGCGGCCTTCGCATTCATCTCGTAATTTAAACAAATTTTCGTATATCATTCTTGAAATGGTGAGGAATACTCTAGCGCCCTTTTGGCTTTCCTCAGTCAACTCAGTATTATAGCTGACATGAGTAGTGTACACGGTTGCTGTAGTGCCTTGTTTCCGCCAAGTGATTTCCTCCCCTCCATCATACGTATTCACGTACGCCTTCTTGAGCTCGTCGGTAAATCTCTGCAGCCCTTCTATGACGGCGTCCAGCAGCTCCGGGTGCCGCGGGTTGGCGAATTGGTCGGGGCGCAGAGAGGAGAGGGAGGTGGAGAGGGTGAGGGAAGTGAAGGGGCGAGAGAGGGCGATGGAGGAGGAAGATGGGTTGAGGTAGAGGGATTTTAGGGGTGGAGGGAGAAGGCGGAAAATGAGGATTTGGGCGAAGGACGCCGACGGAGGAGGTGATGAAGGAGGAAGGAGGGAGCGAAGCGACCAGTGAAAGTGGAGGTGAGTGAGTGGGTGGTTGAGTGGGTGGGTGGTTGAGTGGGTGGGTGGTTGAGTGGGTGAGTGAGGTGAGTGGTTGAGTGGGTGAGTGGTTGAGTGGTTGAGTGGGTGAGTGAGTGGTTGAGTGAGTGGGTGAGTGGGTGAGTGGGTGAGTGGTTGAGTGGGTGGGTGAGTGAGTATGTGAGTGAGTGGTTGAGTGGGTGGTTGAGTGAGTGAGTGAGTTAGTGGGTGGTTGAGTGAGTGAGTGAGTTAGTGGGTGGTTGAGTGAGTGGGTGGGTGGGTGGTTGAGTGGTTGAGTGATTAGGTGAGTGGGTGGTTGAGTGGGTGGTTGGGTGAGTGGGTGGTTGAGTGGTTGAGTGATTAGGTGAGTGGGTGAGTGAGTGGGTGAGTGAGTGCTTGAGTATGTGAGTATGTGAGTGAGTGGGTCGGTGGTTGAGTTAGTGAGTGAGTGTGTGAGTGAGTGAGTGGGTGAGTGGGTGAGTGGGTGGGTGAGTGGTTGAGTGGTTGAGTGAGTATGTGAGTATGTGGGTGGTTGAGTGGGTGGTTGAGTTGGTGAGTGGTTGAGTAGGTGAGTGGGTGGGTGAGTGGTTGAGTGGTTGAGTGAGTATGTGAGTATGTGGGTGGTTGAGTTGGTGAGTGGGTGATACACAGATCACACGTGAAGGCACGATTATGGTGAGAAGTACTTGACGTTGGCGAGTGCCTTGACGCGTGCGGCGGCGAGCAGCGACTGCGCGGCGATGCGGTGGCTTGAGGGCGAGCGCAAGTGGGAGCGTATCCTCAGCACGTCGAGGCGGACGACGGCGATGTGCAGCAGGTAGAGCAAGGAGAGGGACCAGAGGGTTAGTAAGAGGAAAGTGACGAAGTTGAGAAATGTTGAAGGATTATTTTAGGCACATTTTTAGGGCGATTTGGGGGATTTTGGAGAAAGGCGATTTTAGGTCAAGGAGGCAGCGAGGGAGCGAGGGAGGTGGGTGGACAAGGCGGGGGAAGTGAAGGGGCGAAAGAGGGCGATGGAGGAGGAGGATGGGTGGAGGTAAGGCGATTTCGGAGGTGGAGGGATAAAGTGGAAATTAAGATTTTGGGTGAAGGACGCCGACGGAGGAGGTGATTGAGGGGGTGAGGAAGGAGGGAGCGAAGCGACCAGTGAAGAAGGGAGGTGAGTGGTGAGTGAGTGGTTGAGTGAGTATGTGAGTGGTTGAGTGAGTGAGTGGTTGAGTGATTAGGTGAGTGGGTGAGTGGGTGGTTGAGTGAGTATGTGAGTGGTTGAGTGAGTGAGTGGTTGAGTGATGGGTGAGTGGGTGAGTGGGTGGTTGAGTGAGTATGTGAGTGGGTGGGTGATGAGTGGTTAGTGAGTGAGTGTTGTGGTTGAGTGGGGTGAGTGAGTGGTGGGAGTGGGTGGTTGAGTGGTTGAGTGGTGAGTGGTTGAGGTGATGTTGATGAGTGGTGTTGAGTGGGTGAGTGGGTGGGTGAGTGGGTGGGTGGTTGAGTAGGTGAGTGGTTGAGTGGGTGAGTGGGTGGGTGATTAGGTGAGTGGGTGGTTGAGTGGGTATGTGAGTGGGTGGTTGGGTGGTTGGGTGAGTGGTTGAGTGGTTGAGTGGTTGAGTGGTTGAGTAGGTGAGTGGTTGAGTGATGTGGTGGTTGAGTGTGAGTGGGTGGGTGATGGGTGGGTGGTTGAGTAGTGAGTGGTTGAGTGGGTGAGTTTGGGTGGTGAGTAGGTGAGTGGGGTGGTTGAGTGGGTATGTGAGTGGGTGGTTGGTGGTTTGGTGTGGTTGAGTGGTGGTGAGTGTGAGTGAGTGGGTGAGTGGGTGGGTGATTAGGTGAGTGGTTGAGTAGGTGAGTGGTTGAGTGGTTGAGTAGGTGAGTGGTTGAGTGAGTGGGTGGTTGAGTGGGTGGGTGGTTGAGTAGGTGAGTGGTTGAGTGGGTGAGTGGGTGGGTGATTAGTGAGTGTGGTTGAGTGGGTATGTGAGTGGTGGTTGGTGGTTGGGTGAGTGTTGAGTGGGTGGGTGAGTGAGTGAGTGAGTGGGTGAGTGGGTGGGTGATTAGGTGAGTGGGTGGTTGAGTGGGTATGTGAGTGGGTGGTTGGGTGGTTGGGTGAGTGGTTGAGTGGGTGGGTGAGTGAGTGAGTGAGTGGGTGAGTGGGTGGGTGATTAGGTGAGTGGTTGAGTAGGTGAGTGGTTGAGTGGTTGAGTAGGTGAGTGGTTGAGTGAGTGGGTGGTTGAGTGGGTGGGTGGTTGAGTAGGTGAGTGGTTGAGTGGGTGAGTATGTGGTTGAGTGAGTGGGTGGTTGGGTGGTTGAGTGGTTGAGTGAGTGATTAGGTGGTTGAGTGGGTGGTTGAGTGAGTGGGTGAGTGGGTGAGTGGTTGAGTGGTTGAGTGGTTGAGTGGGTGAGTGGGTGGTTGAGTGAGTAGGTGAGTGGGTGAGTGGTTGAGTTGGTGGGTGGGTGGTTGAGTGAGTAGGTGAGTGGGTGAGTGGTTGAGTTGGTGGGTGGGTGGGTGAGTGAGTGGGTGGTTGAGTGGGTGAGTGAGTGGTTGAGTGAGTGGTTGAGTGGGTGAGTGGGTGGTTGAGTGAGTGGGTGGTTGGGTGGTTGAGTGGTTGAGTGGGTGAGTGGGTGAGTGGTTGAGTGGGTGGTTGAGTGGTTGAGTGGGTGGTTGAGTGGTTGAGTGGTTGAGTGGGTGGTTGAGTGGGTGGTTGAGTGGGTGAGTGGGTGGTTGAGTGGGTGGTTGAGTGGGTGGTTGAGTGGTTGAGTGGTTGAGTGGGTGGTTGAGTGGTTGAGTGAGTGGGTGAGTGGGTGAGTGGGTGGGTGGTTGAGTGGTTGAGTGGTTGAGTGGGTGGTTGAGTGGGTGGTTGAGTGGGTGAGTGGGTGGTTGAGTGGTTGAGTGGTTGAGTGGTTGAGTAGGTGAGTGGTTGAGTGAGTGGGTGAGTGGTTGAGTGGTTGAGTGGTTGAGTGAGTGGTTGAGTGGGTGGGTGAGTGAGTGAGTGAGTGATTAGGTGAGTGGGTGAGTGGGTGAGTGGTTGATTAGGTGAGTGATACACAGATCACACGTGAAGGCACGATTATGGTGAGAAGTACTTGACGTTGGCGAGTGCCTTGACGCGTGCGGCGGCGAGGAGGGACTGGGCGGCGATGCGGTGGCTTGCGGGTGATCTCAGGTGGGAGCGTATCCTCAGGACGTCGAGGCGGACGACGGCGATGTGCAGCAGGTAGAGCAAGGAGAGGGACCAGAGGGTTAGTAAGAGGAAAGTGACGAAGTTGAGAAATGTTGAAGGATTATTTTAGGCACATTTTTAGGGCGATTTGGGGGATTTTGGAGAAAGGCGATTTTAGGTCAAGGAGGCAGCGAGGGAGCGAGGGAGGTGGGTGGACAAGGCGGGGGAAGTGAAGGGGCGAAAGAGGGCGATGGAGGAGGAGGATGGGTGGAGGTAAGGCGATTTCGGAGGTGGAGGGATAAAGTGGAAATTAAGATTTTGGGTGAAGGACGCCGACGGAGGAGGTGATTGAGGGGGTGAGGAAGGAGGGAGCGAAGCGACCAGTGAAGAAGGGAGGTGAGTGGTGAGTGAGTGGTTGAGTGAGTATGTGAGTGGTTGAGTGAGTGAGTGGTTGAGTGATTAGGTGAGTGGGTGAGTGGGTGGTTGAGTGAGTATGTGAGTGGTTGAGTGAGTGAGTGGTTGAGTGATTAGGTGAGTGGGTGAGTGGGTGGTTGAGTGAGTATGTGAGTGGGTGGGTGAGTGAGTGGTTGAGTGAGTGAGTATGTGGTTGAGTGGGTGAGTGAGTGGGTGGGTGAGTGGGTGGTTGAGTGGTTGAGTGGTTGAGTGGTTGAGTAGGTGAGTGGTTGAGTGAGTGGGTGGTTGAGTGGGTGAGTGGGTGGGTGAGTGGGTGGGTGGTTGAGTAGGTGAGTGGTTGAGTGGGTGAGTGGTTGAGTGGGTGAGTGGGTGGGTGAGTGGGTGGGTGGTTGAATGAGTGGTTGAGTGGGTGAGTGGGTGGGTGATTAGGTGAGTGGGTGGTTGAGTGGGTATGTGAGTGGGTGGTTGGGTGGTTGGGTGAGTGGTTGAGTGGGTGGGTGAGTGAGTGAGTGAGTGGGTGAGTGGGTGGGTGGATGAGTGTGTGAGTGAGTGAGTGAGTGGGTGAGTGGTTGAGTGGTTGAGTGGGTGGTTGAGTGGTTGAGTGGTTGAGTGGGTGGTTGAGTGGTTGAGTGAGTGGGTGAGTGGGTGAGTGGGTGGGTGGTTGAGTGGTTGAGTGGTTGAGTGGGTGGTTGAGTGGTTGAGTGGTTGAGTGGGTGGTTGAGTGGGTGGTTGAGTGGTTGAGTGGTTGAGTGGGTGGTTGAGTGGGTGAGTGGGTGGTTGAGTGAGTGAGTGGGTGAGTGAGTGGTTGAGTGAGTGGTTGAGTGAGTGGGTGAGTGGGTGGGTGGTTGAGTGAGTGGTTGAGTGAGTGGGTGATTAGGTGGGTGGTTGAGTGGGTGGTTAGGTGAGTGGTTGAGTGGTTAGGTGGTTGAGTGAGTGGGTGAGTGAGTGGGTAGGTGGTTGAGTGAGTGGTTGAGTGGGTGAGAGGGTGGGTGAGTGGGTGGGTGGTTGAGTGGTTGAGTGAGTGAGTGATACACAGATCACACGTGAAGGCACGATTATGGTGAGAAGTACTTGACGTTGGCGAGTGCCTTGACGCGTGCGGCGGCGAGGAGCGACTGGGCGGCGACACGGTGGCTTGAAAGTGATTTTAAGTGGGAGCGTATCCTCAGGACGTCGAGGCGGACGACGGCGATGTGCAGCAGGTAGAGCAAGGAGAGGGACCAGAGGGTTAGTAAGAGGAAAGTGACGAAGTTGAGAAATGTTGAAGGATTATTTTAGGCACATTTTTAGGGCGATTTGGGGGATTTTGGAGAAAGGCGATTTTAGGTCAAGGAGGCAGCGAGGGAGCGAGGGAGGTGGGTGGACAAGGCGGGGGAAGTGAAGGGGCGAAAGAGGGCGATGGAGGAGGAGGATGGGTGGAGGTAAGGCGATTTCGGAGGTGGAGGGATAAAGTGGAAATTAAGATTTTGGGTGAAGGACGCCGACGGAGGAGGTGATTGAGGGGGTGAGGAAGGAGGGAGCGAAGCGACCAGTGAAGAAGGGAGGTGAGTGGTGAGTGAGTGGTTGAGTGAGTATGTGAGTGGTTGAGTGAGTGAGTGGTTGAGTGATTAGGTGAGTGGGTGAGTGGGTGGTTGAGTGAGTATGTGAGTGGTTGAGTGAGTGAGTGGTTGAGTGATTAGGTGAGTGGGTGAGTGGGTGGTTGAGTGAGTATGTGAGTGGGTGGGTGAGTGAGTGGTTGAGTGAGTGAGTATGTGGTTGAGTGGGTGAGTGAGTGGGTGGGTGAGTGGGTGGTTGAGTGGTTGAGTGGTTGAGTGGTTGAGTAGGTGAGTGGTTGAGTGAGTGGGTGGTTGAGTGGGTGAGTGGGTGGGTGAGTGGGTGGGTGGTTGAGTAGGTGAGTGGTTGAGTGGGTGAGTGGGTGGGTGATTAGGTGAGTGGGTGGTTGAGTGGGTATGTGAGTGGGTGGTTGGGTGGTTGGGTGAGTGGTTGAGTGGGTGGGTGAGTGAGTGAGTGAGTGGGTGAGTGGGTGGGTGATTAGGTGAGTGGTTGAGTAGGTGAGTGGTTGAGTGGTTGAGTAGGTGAGTGGTTGAGTGAGTGGGTGGTTGAGTGGGTGGGTGGTTGAGTAGGTGAGTGGTTGAGTGGGTGAGTATGTGGTTGAGTGAGTGGGTGGTTGGGTGGTTGAGTGGTTGAGTGAGTGATTAGGTGGTTGAGTGGGTGGTTGAGTGAGTGGGTGAGTGGGTGAGTGGTTGAGTGGTTGAGTGGTTGAGTGGGTGAGTGGGTGGTTGAGTGAGTAGGTGAGTGGGTGAGTGGTTGAGTTGGTGGGTGGGTGGTTGAGTGAGTAGGTGAGTGGGTGAGTGGTTGAGTTGGTGGGTGGGTGGGTGAGTGAGTGGGTGGTTGAGTGGGTGAGTGAGTGGTTGAGTGAGTGGTTGAGTGGGTGAGTGGGTGGTTGAGTGAGTGGGTGGTTGGGTGGTTGAGTGGTTGAGTGGGTGAGTGGGTGAGTGGGTGGGTGAGTGAGTGGTTGAGTGAGTGATTAGGTGAGTGGGTGGGTGAGTGAGTGAGTGGTTGAGTGGTTGGGTGGTTGAGTGAGTGGTTGAGTGGGTGAAGGCACGATTATGGTGAGAAGTACTTGACGTTGGCGAGTGCCTTGACGCGTGCGGCGGCGAGGAGGGACTGCGCGGCGATGCGGTGGCTTGAGGGTGATCTCAGGTGGGAGCGTATCCTCAGGACGTCGAGGCGGACGACGGCGATGTGCAGCAGGTAGAGGAGCGACAGCGACCAGAGGGCTAACAAGAGGAAAGTGAAGAAGTTGAGAAATGTTGAAGGATTATTTTAGGCACATTTTAGGGCGATTTGGGGGAATTTGGAGAAAGGCGATTTTAGGTCAAGGAGGCAGCGAGGGAGCGAGGGAGGTGGGTGGACAGGGTGAGGGAGGTGAAGGGGCGAAAGAGGGCGATGAAGGGGGCAGATGGGTTGGGAGAAGGCGGTTTAGGAGGTGGAGGGGGAAGGTGGAAAATGAGGATTTGGGTGAGGGACGCCGACGGAGGAGGTGATGGAGGGGAGAGGAGGGAGCGAAGCGACCAGTGAAAGAGGAGGTGAGTGGGTGGGTGGTTGAGTGAGTGGTTGAGTGGTTGAGTGAGTGGGTGGTTGAGTGGGTGAGTAGGTGGTGAGTGGGTGAGTGGTTGAGTGGTTGAGTGAGTGGGTGGGTGAGTGGGTGAGTGGGTGGGTGGTTGAGGGGGTGAGTGGTTGAGTGGGTGGGTGAGTGGGTGGGTGGTTGAGTGGTTGAATGGTTGAGTGGGTGAGTAGGTGGGTGAGTGGGTGAGTGGTTGAGTGGGTGAGTTGGTGATTAGGTGGTTGAGTGGTTGGGTGAGTGAGTGGGTGGTTGAGTGGTTGAGTGGTTGGGTGGGTGAGTGGTTGAGTGGTTGAGTGAGTGGGTGGGTGAGTGGGTGGTTGAGTATGTGAGTGAGTGAGTGGGTGGTTGAGTGGTTGAGTGGGTGGTTGAGTGGTTGAGTGGTTAGGTGAGTGGGTGGTTGAGTGAGTGGTTGAGTGGGTGAGTGGGTGAGTGATTAGGTGAGATGGGTGAGTGGGTGGGTGAGTGGGTGAGTGAGTGGTTGAGTGAGTGAGTGGGTGAGTGATTAGGTGAGTGGGTGAGTGATACACAGATCACACGTGAAGGCACGATTATGGTGAGAGGTACTTGACGTTGGCGAGTGCCTTGACGCGTGCGGCGGCGAGGAGCGACTGCGCGGCGATGCGGTGGCTTGCGGGTGATCTCAGGTGGGAGCGTATCCTCAGGACGTCGAGGCGGACGACGGCGATGTGCAGCAGGTACAGGAGCGACAGCGACCAGAGGGGTAACAAGAGTTAAGTGAAGAAGTTGAGAAATGTTGAAGGATTATTTTAGGCACATTTTCAGGGCGATTTTGGGGATTTTTGAGAAAGGCGATTTTAGGTCAAGGAGGCAGCGAGGGAGTGAGGCAGGTGGGTGGACGAGGTGAGGGAGGTGAAGGGGCGATAGAGGGCGATGAAGGAGGAAGATGGGTGGAGAGGAGGGGATTTCGGAGGTGGCGGGGGAAGGTGGAAAATGAGGGTTTGGGTGAAGGACGCCGACGGAGGAGGTGATGGAGGGGTGATGGAGGAGGGAGCGAAGCGACCAGTGAAGGAGGGGGGTGAGTGAGTGGTTGACTGGGTGAGTGGTTGAGTGAGTGGGTGGGTGAGTGGTTGAGTGAGTGAGTGGGTGAGTGGTTGAGTGAGTGAGTGGGTGAGTGAGTGAGTGGGTGAGTGAGTGGGTGGTTGAGTGGTTGAGTGAGCAGGTGAGTGAGTGAGTGGTTGAGTGGGTGGTTGAGTGGGTGGTTGGTTGAGTGGGTGAGTGAGTGGTTGAGTGGTTGAGTGGGTGGTTGAGTGGTTGAGTGGTTGAGTGGGTGAGTTGGTGAGTGAGTTGGTGGTTGAGTGAGTGAGTGGGTGGGTGGGTGAGTGGTTGAGTGGGTGAGTGGTTGAGTGGGTGGTTGAGTGGTTGGGTGAGTGAGTGAGTGGGTGGGTGAGTGGGTGGGTGAGTGGGTGGTTGAGTGTGTGGGTGAGTGAGTGGTTGGGTGAGTGAGTGGGTGAGTGGGTGAGTAAGTGGTTGAGTGAGTGGTTGAGTGGTTGAGTGGGTGGTTGAGTGGGTGGGTGGGTGGTTGAGTGGGTGACTTAGGTGAGTGAGTGGGTGAGTGGGTGAGTGAGTGGTTGAGTGGTTGAGTGAGTGGGTGAGTGATTAGGTGAGTTGGTGATTAGGTGGGTGGTTGAGTGAGTGGGTGAGTAGGTGGGCGAGTGGGTGAGTGAGTGATACACAGATCACAGGTGAAGGCACGATTATGGTGAGAAGTACTTGACGTTGGCGAGTGCCTTGACGCGTGCGGCGGCGAGGAGCGACTGTGCGGCGATGCGGTGGCTTGAGGGTGATCTCAGGTGGGAGCGTATCCTCAGGACGTCGAGGCGGACGACGGCGATGTGCAGCAGGTAGAGGAGCGACAGCGACCAGAGGGCTAGCAATAGACACATGAATGGCCATCTGATTATGCGAAGGTATTCGTCGCATTGCTCGAATAATTTTCCAAAGTAATTAGAATGTAACACCTTGTGTAATTGGCTGCAGAAATCCTTACACTTCTTCACTGTGTCACCACTATTCAACGTCGACGCCTCGCCGAAGCTGAATCCATACTGGTAGAATGTGGATGATACTCCTTTACACTGGACTATTGAAGAACACTGACATGTGTCATCTGCTTTCTTCTCATCCTCAACGACGCCATGCTTGCCACTCCTGCACTTGTCTCCTCTGAGACATCCACGGCAGCCCCAGTCTGCACAAGTGATAGAACAGAAGGCATTATATAAGTTGTTGAGTAGATCCCAGAACGTCCATGGGAGGTATATGGCCCATGAGAGGTATGTGTTACAGTGCTTCTCAGCAAAGTAAGCATACGTATCGCCGCAGAGTGATGCAACATACGGAGCGCACAACGCTTTTCCGACACGATCATTACATGCTGACGTCATCGCCAGACTATACACATCAGAGTATGCAGGAAGATGGTCCTTCCCTCCATGGTTACTGTGTGTATTACGGTACGCATTAGTAAGTGCAGCTGTTAGTTTCGTCGGTTGATCATACAGGTTAATGGACACACTCTCAATGGATGATTCAACGGACTTCTTAATGCGACTTGTAGCTTCTGTCTTGGGACTATTCCAACCACTTACTAGTGATAAAACAAACCCGAACTGCTCAGGTAATGAAGCCGGGGTCTTTGGTGAGAGACAGAATAGGGATGACAAATAGAAGTTGGAGAAGAATTTGTCCAGAATATCACATATCTCCTCACCCTTACGCGTAGACCCAGAGAAACCTCTGAAGCCTAGAGGTGTTAAGCATGGCATGCCTTTCTTGCCATTTGGACATGTTGAACATACAGAGCGACAGCCAATAGAAGAAACGTCATGAGGTAAGTGACCAGGTAACGAGTCCGTTAGGTAACTCATTAAAGGTGAAGTTGGTTGGCAATTTGGTTTTGTGTTTGCCTGGCACGTAGGTTGGCACTTTGGTCGGCTGTTTGGTTTGCTATTTGAATGATTATTACATGGTGATTTGGTAGTGAAGACATCCCTGCCGTAGAGGCATTGCGACCAACCGCTATGCTTAGTACTTAGCTTGCATCGGTTGAACAAATATCGAAGCTGTGGTAATAGTCTACGCAAAATGTCAAGAAGCATATCCAGGCATTGAGATGGAATTGAAGGATATGATAGGCTAAGGTGGTTGGTGCAGAAGTCAGCGGCGTACGTTGTGTATTCGTCGCCGTGACCGGCGATTGACGTCAAGATGTCATAGGATATCGAACAAATATGGTCGAGTGCAGTATTTATGTGATCATATGTGATTCTGTTTGGATAAGCATCTATGTAGTAGGACTTCAGATCATCTAATTCTACTTCAAATTCGTCGCCGCCCTGTATGGTTTTGGGCTTAGGCTTCTGCAGGAGGCTAGTGAAACCGTCACGCAATAGAGTGGAATACGCAGCGTTATACGGCAGACCTGAGAACCAAGAAAGCATTTCATTAACACTGCACGGCGTCTTCTTGGAGGTGAAAGTTGCTATGTGACCGACGGAGTAATACTCTTCTAGGTGACGGTGAAGGCATTTCAGTAAGTCAAAGATGTCGAAGTTATCATGTTTCTTCTTGTTACCGTGCTCATCTTTTTCAATGGATTCACAGTCCTTGAGATGTTTTATTTTTTCCGTGTTCTGTAATTTCATCTCGTGGAGCTTCTGAAATACCTTCTCACCTGTCATATCTTCATGACGCTTCAACTCGCCATCTTGTGACTTAGAGTGGCTGGCAACACGGTAACCATAACTTTTAAATAGTTCTCCCAGATCTGAAGACCGACTAATTGTACTCTTGGAAAAACGTTTCTTACATCCACTTCTTAACCCATCAAGATCACCCTTCACCCTCTCCAGTATGGTCAGGCAGACCTTGGCGCAGTTGCGGCCCTCAGCGGAAAGGACGTCAACGGACTTATGATGTTCGGTGTCAGATTTCTTTTGTTCAGTCAAAGGACCAAACTTCATACCGCTGTATTTATTCACGTACGCGTGGGAGAGTTCCGCGGTGAATTGCGTCATGCCGGCCTTGAGGGCGTCGAGGAGCAGCGGGTTGTGGAAGCCGGCGAACGTGGAGGGGGAGAGGGAGGTGAGGAGGCGAAAGAGGGCGATGAAGGGGGAAGATGGGTGGAGGTAAGGCGGTTTTCGGGGTGGAGGGGGAAAGTGGAAAATGAGGATTTGGGTGAAGGCGCCGACGGAGGAGGTGATGGAGGGGGGTGAGGCAGGGAGCGAAGCGACCAGTGAAGGAGGGAGGTGAGTGTGTGGTTGAGTGGGTGGTGAGTGGTTGAGTGAGTGGGTGTGTGGTTGAGTGATTAGGTGAGTGGTTGAGTGATTAGGTGAGTGGTTGAGTGAGTGGTTGAGTGAGTGGGTGAGTGAGTGGGTGAGTGAGTGGGTGAGTGGGTGAGTGAGTGGGTGGGGAGGAGCGGTGAGGAGCGGTTGAGGAGCGGAGTGAGTGGGTGAGTGAGTGGGCGGCTGAGGATACACAGATCACAATGAAGCAACGATCATGGTGAGAAGCCACCTGACGCTGGCTATTTTCCCTACGCGTGCGGCGGCGAGGAGGGACTGCGCGGCGATGCGGTGGCTTGAGGGCGATCTCAGGTGGGAGCGTATCCTCAAGACGTCGAGGCGGACGACGGCGATGTGCAGCAGGTACAGGAGCGACAGCGACCAGAGGGCTAATAGAGTGATGGAGAAGGGTGTTCTGATGGCCCATAAGTAATCTGGTATCATGATATGTATGAGTTTGGCGAGAAGTGTGTTGTCGGATATCTTATTGCTTAGAACTCTCAAGTGTTCTGCAAAATCTTTACATGTACGCATCTTCTCAGGCCCATTCTTGTTACTTAGGTTGTATGTGCTCTCAGATACGAAACCAAATTTGCATATGGTAGGACGAGTAAATGGGCAATTAGCGATTGACTTGCAGTCTTTAGTGTGATGTTTATCTTCGAGCGTTTCTACGTCCGCTTTCATATCGGTGTATCTCACGGGGCACGTTTTGGCACAGCCTCTGTCATAACATCTAGTGCCTGGCTTATTGCAATTAGTGCAGCAATCGTCGTATAATTTCTTAAGTAATTCATAAAATGTTTCTGTCATGTAAACGATCCATGAAAGGTATTTGTCGGCATTCTTTTAGAGAAAACATTCCATCTGTTCATGCCAAACGGCTGCAGATAACGGCCGCATATAATTTTCGACGTGTCGCCATAATCACATCTGTAGAGACTAAAAGGTCACCGATGTGATGGCTTTTGACGGAATGTTTGCTATTGAACCATATAGAATACACTTTTAATTCAGCATAAGGCTGGCCGAAGTACGCCTTGGAGACAGCCTCTTCAAACGCGTCTCGCTTATGCTCCGTCTTGGTGTTCCACTCACTAAGGAAATTGTAGTAGAACGAGAACATATCGTCAAGTGTCTGAGGCGCTCGCTGTAATAGGCATGTAAGTTGAGCGCAGAGTAGAGCAAGTGGATTATTTGGCCTACCACAGAAATCCGTTAGAACTTCTGCGAGATGCTCGCCCGTTTTCGTATGCGATGCTACATTACTAATATCACCAAATCCCATTGGCGTTTTACAAGGAAGTCCTCTGTGATTGGACACCGTACACGTGAGTTTACAACCGGGAGTTGTGAACGAATGCGGGAGAAAGCCCTGGAGACCGTCCTCCAAAAGGACTGTAGAGGTGACTTGAGACCGCAACTGACACTTTGGTCACACTTTTGGCTACACTTTTGGTTGTGCATTTGGGTAGCACTTTGGTCACCTTGTTGGCCAGGACACTGCATAGCGTTACAACTCCAAGCGGAGCCGCCGACTCCCTGCCATACCAACAGTCACGCCAACTGTTAGCGTCCGAAGTACGGCTACACTGTGTGAATACGAAAAAAAGTTGGTCATACACTCTATGTGATATGTCTATAAGCATGTCTAAACATGAAGCTGGGCTACTAGGATAGTCTAGTTTGTCTGCGTTTGTATAAAAGTCAACGGCGTATCTGCCATTTTCATGGCCGCGGCCGAGGATGGCGACTAACACCTTTTCGGCTTGGAAACAAACTTGTAATAGCATGTATCGTAATTCTTTAGGCGTAATGTTTGAGGTGCCAACTAGTTTGAGCTCGTCGTTTTGAAGTCGGAATACGGCACTTCCTCCCGCCCTTTAGGTTTAGGGAACAGCTCATTGAAGTAAGTGGTAACTTTTCTGAACATCGGATTATAGTACAATCCGAGGAGCCATTGGAGCATTTGGTGAATGTTGCTGGGTGCTCTAGGTGATGGATGATATTCTAGGTGAGTGACATAATAATAATCATCCAGGTAATTGTGAAGATTCCTCAGTGAGCCGTATTTATCTTTATCGGCATCTTTATGCCTGAAGACACGTTTGACTTCGCTCTCGCTGAAAAGTAATTCATGAATATTCTGACCGGTCATACACGCCTTGTCCTGCAAGTGACCAGTCTGCTTGCCTGTCTCGGAATTCACCGTGTATCCACACGTCTGGAAAAAATTCCCGAGGGGCACATCTCTATACGTATTGATTTGTAAACTTCTCCAATTACCGTTTTCCTTACAATTCTTCAGCAACCAACTCAGGTCGTGGAACACCCTCTCCAGTATGGTCAGGCAGACCTTGGCGCAGTTGCGGCCCTCAGCGGAAAGGACTTTATCTGCTGGTTTTTTGGTTTTGTCTTGTTCAGTCAAAGGACCAAACCTTTTCCCACTGTATTTATTCACGTACGCGCAGGAGAGCTGATCGGTGAATTTTTCCATGCCGGCCTTGAGGGCGTCGAGGAGCAGCGGGTTGTGGAAGCCGTGGAACGTGGAGGGGGAGAGGGAGGAGATTGATTCATTTAATTCGGTAAGGTATCTGGTGGAATTGTGGTCAAAAATATACTTTCTATCGGGATCATGATATTTCAGATATTCCAGTAAAGCGTCGACACGGAGTCTAATTTTGTCGAGCTTAGCAGACTCATTATTTCCTCGCTTTTCGGATGGCTTATCTGGATTCGTGGTCATCGCTAGGTCTTTAGTATAATACAATATTGCATCTAAATACCATTTCAGTGCGTCGGACAGTTCTGTGAAATTTTTGGAATATTCGGAGCTTTTGGAAACTGTCCTTTTTGCGATTTTCGCCATATCATCAAGAGTTGTATTATGATCATGGATTTCTCTTAAAAGCCCCTTAACACCGTTGCTTTTATCCTTCTCGATTATCTTCTCTATCTCCTCCTTCTGCTCCTCTATCAGCGTTTTGAGCGCCGCCAGGTCGGCTTTGTGGCCCTGGGCGAATAGGGTGCGGACCTCGGAGGTGAGTGTTTGGAATGATTCCTTGATAGCATTTTCTACAGCATCTATCTCCTGTGTCAATGTTGCATCCGCATCTCTCGTATTCCATTCGATGACATGAAGTTTGTATTTGATTTCAGTTTTTAGCCCATTCATTTTCTCATCGGCTTCTTTCTTCTTTTTGTTTATCTCACCATCTACACCGCCGGAGTTTTCTTTTTTAAGGTTATCAAGTGCTGTTAGAACACTGGTCAGCCCGTCGACATCAGTCTTCAGTGTTATGCCAGTATCCTCTAAAATTTCACCAAGTTCATCAATTTTTGGTTTCACCTGATTCAATGCAAAATCAATATCTCCGGCAGTGGGACCGAAAGTGGTGCGGAAACTTTCCACTTTCTGTATGGCCTCGTCTACATTTTTCCCCAGCTTATATTTTATGTTAAGCTTGTCGGTGGTAATAGATTCGAGTTCATCTTTTACTCGCTGGGCTGCGGACTTCACTGCGGTAAGGATGGTGGAAACGGCTTGAGTGAGATACGGCTTAGCAGGAGAATCGGAGGACACTGCGGGCAACAACGGCGGATCGGATGTAAACATGGCTTCAATTTCTGTGGCTATTGTGTCGTGTTGGAGCTCATTATGTTGACTAAAAGTTTTCGAGAAATTAGAAACACACCTCTTAACAGCGTCCAACATTTTTTCAATCTCACGAACATCACTTATATTGACGTTCTCGACATGTTGCTGAAGCTTTTCTGTAATGTGAGATATAACTTTTGGCGTCACTTGATTAAGAATGGTTCGAATGTCATTACTTTGCACAGAATCTAAGAATTTTCTCTGACGTTTATTCTCACTGACATATGTGTACAGATACCCCTTTTCTCCTTTATCTTCATCAACCAGTTCCTTAACTATACTGCCAATCGCCGACTTAAATTTATGATCGAAGCCTCCACCATAATTCATGAGGCCATTTTCAATTTCATTAAGAAGACCATTCGGTCCATCACCTGTATCACCCTCTTCCTTGCCAATAAGACCCTCAACAATTCCTGTGACATATCCCTTAAGCTCCGTCCATTTCTTATCTATACTAGTCACTGGTAGTTCTTTCAAACCGACTCCATTTTTGATCAACTTGAACGCCGTCTGTGCCTTCCCAACCCACCCAGCAAGCTCTCCTTTTTTCTTTTGTAATGCGTTATGAGCGTCTTCAACATTCCTCTTTATGTCTTCAAACATTCCAAGAACTTTATACCTATAGTCCCAGTCAAAACCGTTGTCCATAAAATGCTGCGCATCTTTTATCGCTCTTTTAATTATGTCGAACTGCTCCCTTTTAATATGCTCCAACTTCCCTATTTTGTCCAATAATTTCCACAGCTCCATCTGTAACGCCTCATCCACCTCCTTCACCTTTCTCTCAAGCCCATCCTCCCTAGCCGCCCCAAGCAGCACCTCAACCGACTTCTGAATCGGCTCTATTTTGTGCATTATGCGTGCCTTAAGTGCGCTATCTAAGACATTAATTTGTTGTGTTTCTATTATTGTGAGCTCTTGAGAAATCCCTTGGAGAGTCTTGGTCCACTCGTGCAGCTGCCCATTTAAGTCGGTCTTGTCGTAGACTTGATTGTAGTATTTACCTGAAGGAGATGATAAATTTTTAATCAACTCACCTAATTTTGCAGTGACATCGCTTGTCTTGTCATTAACCTGCATCCAATATTTCTTAAGCCATCCACTTACCTTTTCAACCCGCGCACCAAAGACACTGCGTCCCTGGCCAATTGAAGATTGGAGATCTTGAAGGACAGTATGTAAATCATCATTATTATTTGATGATTTAATGTATTTATTGTATGTTGTAACACTTTCATCCTCCTTCACTCCACTGAGAACACCATGAAGGAAAGACATCACCCCGTCGCAGAGCCTGTCAAGGTCCGAGTACACGATGCCGGAGCCGGTGTAATTACCATCCTGGTAGCCGAGAAATTTTTCGAGGCCTGTGCAGAGGTTATTTAATAATGTTGTTGAAGGATTATTTTAGGCACATTTTCAGGGCGATTTGGGGGAATTTGGAGAAAGGCGATTTCAGGTCAAGGAGGCAGAGGGGCAGCGAGGGAGGTGTGTGGACAAGGCGAGGGAGGTGAAGGGGCGAAAGAGGGCGATGAGGGAGGAAGATGGGTTGAAGTAAGGCGATCTTGGAGGTGGAGGGGGAAAGTGGAAGATGAGGATTTGGGTGAAGGACGCCGACGGAGGAGGTGAGGGAAGGGGTGAAAGGCAGGGAGCGAAGCGACCAGTGAAAGAGGGAGGTGAGTGGGTGAGTGAGTGGGTGGGTGAGTGGTTGGGTGGGTGGGTGAGTATGTGAGTGAGTGGGTGAGTGGGTGAGTGGTTGAGTGAGTGATTAGGTGAGTGGGTGAGTGGTTGAGTGAGTGGTTGAGTGGGTGAAGGCACGATTATGGTGAGAAGTACTTGACGTTGGCGAGTGCCTTGACGCGTGCGGCGGCAAGTAGCGACTGTGCGGCGATGCGGTGGCTTGAGGGCGAGCGCAGGTGGGAGCGTATCCTCAGGACGTCGAGGCGGACGATGAGGATGTGCAGCAGGTACAGGAGCGACAGCGACCAGAGGGCTACCAGTGTCCAGATGAACGGTGCGCGGATCTTGAATAAGAATTCTGGAATTGTCTCGTATATTAATTTTGCTAGCGCCGGCTGCTCTGCTTTCTTTTTACTCAGCACTCTATCCAGTGCTCTACATAGATCTCTACATGTGCGCTTGGTCTTCTCGCCACGCTCACCGCTCATCCGCCATGAGCTTCCGAAATAGAAACCATATTTAGACAACGTTCGAAGAGTGTGTGGACATTTTACAATGGAACTACAGTCTGGAGTATGCGTGTCTCTTATTGACGGTGTGGTAGATTGCCCATTCTTATCCGTGTATTTAACTGGACATTTCTCTGTACAGCATTTTTCGTAGCATCTGCTGCCCTTCCTGTCGCACGTTGCACAGCAGTCGTCATACAATTTTTTCAACAGGTCATAGAACGTTTCACTGAGGTAAACGATCCATGAGAGATATTTACTGGAGTTCTTACTGGAGAACGTGCTCCAAATGTCACGGCAAATTGGCTTAAGGTATGGACCGCAGGGCAGCGCTGCGTCACCGCTGTTGCTTTCGCATTTAACAAGTGAGTGAAGGTCGGCGTTGGGATGCTTGTTGTCAGAACCATGAACTGCGCTCTTGAACATGGGACCGATTTCGAGAGTTGTTTTCGGATCCCCAAAGTTCGCACTTTGGACAGCTTTAATAAAGGCATAACGTTTGTGGCCGTCGTTAGAGTTCCATTTGTCAAGGAAATTAATGTAAAAGGCGAACAGGTCACCAAGGGTCAGAGGTGTGCGTTTTGATATACATGTAAGAGCACTGCAAAGTTTACTTAGAGGCTTGTCTGGTTTGCCACAGAAATCTGCAAGCACCTCCTCTAGATACCTGCCCGTCTGCCTGTGAGAGGCCATTACGCTGAGATCTGGGAAACCCATCGGTGTAATACACGGTTGACCTCTGTGGCTGCCAAGTGAACATGCCACTCCACAGCCTAATTTTGTAAGCTGATGTGGAAGGAAGCCTACTAGGCCGTCCTCTAGATATGATTGTAATGGTGATTTAATGCCGCAGTCACTATGTTGCTTACAGTTTTGGTTACACGTTTGGTTATGTGTTTGGTCAGCCTTTTGGTTGGCCGTTTGGTCACCTGTTTGGTTGGGGCATTGTAGAGTATTACAACTCCACGATGAGCCGGCAACACCTTGACCATACCAACACTTATTCCAACCACTATAGATCTGACCATTCTTACACTGTTGGTATAAGAAAATAAGCTGCTCATACAATCTACATATTAACTCCACGAGAAGAGCAACGCACTGTGATGGAACGACAGGGTAATGTAAATCAAGTGAATTATTTGAGTAGTCGCAGGCGTACTGTCCATCTGCGTGCCCGTGACCCTGGATTGCTATAAGAGTTTGCTCAGCGTGGCGGCAAACTGAATCCAGTAACTCAGTGACATGCCTAGGTGTAATGGCTGTAGTGGCAGCTAAGCTAAGTGCTGTGTCGGGAATCTCATTATATGACATTTGTTCTTTCCCCTTAGGTTTAGGGAATAATGTCTTAACGTGCGCTCCAACCTTATGATACATATAATTATACGGAAAGCCGGAACACCACTGTAGCATTTCGTTGATGGTTGTAGGTGACTTAGTTGCGGATAAAGTGGCATGATGGCCGACTTGGTAACACTCTTTCAGGTGAGTGAAAAGACATGTGAGGATGCCCATTACATTGTATTGCCTTGTCATATTAGTGTGAGCTGAACAATCTTTGAGATGTTTATTCGCTTTTGCGCTGGGAAATTCAGTGATAAGCTTCTCATTAATTTTACTTCCTTCCATCTTTTTATTGTCCTGTAGCTCACCGGTCTGCTTGCCATTTTCGGAATTGACCGTGTAACCACGGTTAATGAACCATGGACCAAGTGGACTGTCTCCATGCGTATTGATTTGTTTGTCCCTGCAGGGGCCATTTGTATGGTTACATTGCTGCTTCAACTCACTCAGGTCGTGGAACAGCATATCTAGTATTGTTAAACATACTCTTGCGCAATTCCGCCCTTCCTCAGTCAACTCCTTTTCAGGTTGGGAGGTATCAGGTTTTCCCGTTGCGGGTTGTTTCTTATTTTGTAACAACGCCCCGTTGAACGTTACACAACAGTACTTGCTGATGTAAGTCCTGCCCAGCTCTCTAGCCATGGCGCTGATCCCCTCCTTGAGGGGGTCCAGCAGAGGACTGCACGGACCGGAGAACCTCTTAAGTTCGAAGTTATGAAGTGCGTTATTAAGGTTATCGAGATTATTACTAAATGTGTAATCAAAGTGCTCTGAACTAATAAGGTCAGTGAGCAAGTCATGAAGGGATTTACGGGAAGGGTCGAAAAATCGACGAACTTTCTGAAAGTCTTCTTGCGGATATAACGCTTCCATAAAGTCGTAAAAACGAAGGCGTACAATTTCGGCAAAATGTTTTAATGTTTTTTGGTCTGCAGATAATTGCTTGCCGGATAATTTCGATACGTAGTCGTTGACTTGATTAACTATGTAGATGTGCATTTTGCTGAAGAAGCCTTTCAGACCCGTTACCTTGTCCTGATTGATTATAGCTGTAACGTCTTGAAGCTTAGCGCTGACAAAGGATTTTAAGGCTTCGAGCTCCGCTTTCTTTGTTAAAACGTATTTCTCCTGCGCATCCGCCTTTATAGTGTTCAATGCTGTAGAACCTTTTTCCATGAGTGTCCTGGCTGTGTTTTCAATGTATCTTTGAACCAAGGCCTTTGTTTGATTCACGGCTCCTTGCATATCTTTGTTCAAGTATTGTTCGGCTGTTGAACTAGCCAAACGAATGTCATTAACCTTATCTTGTAAACCTGAGAGATTATCATACAATTCGTTCATCAGTGATACAGCTTTTGGAATACCTTCTTGCCCGTTGAGAGTCTCTGATAGCTGTTGCAATTCGTCATATGTAGTCTCTATGCCTTCAACGGCATCGCCGAGAGACTTTTTAAAGCTATTCTCAAAATCACTACTCAGTTCGCCAACCTTGTCCGCCACATTCTTAATTGCACCGTCTAAGGCTTGCGCAAATTGCGTGTCAAGTTTACTCTCAAGTGACCCAACAATATCGAGCATGTCGTTCAGACTTGCGATGCTACACGATGTCACCAATGAACTTATTTCTTCTGCAGTTTGCCTAGCCGACGTAGCAAGCACGGGCATTATTATACGTAGTGCGGATTTGAGTGATGATTGTGCAGGATAAGTGGACTTACCATTCAATAACTCAGTGTCAATTGCAGTGACCACTTTTCCCTCATCGCCGGCATCAATCTTCTTTCCAAGCTCATCGGCAAAATGGTCTAGGAACGTTTTTATGCTTTGCAAATTATTTCCCACATCACCATCATGAGCGCTCGAGTTCTTACTCCTAACCTCAATAACAATTTTATTCATTTCCGCTGTTATAGCTGTTATGACTGCCTCACGCTTCTTCTGATCAGTGGTCAATTCACGGTTTTTAAAATTACCATTGTTGGGTTTTATATAGCCATCAACCCATGGTTTAACAATTACATTTTTCTCCACAATGTCTGCAACCCACGGATATAAAAAAATATCTTCAAAAATATCTTTGGAGTAATTATGAGCGTAATCCCTAATGCTATCTATAATATGAGTCAGACCGCCACCAGAGCCTGAATTGCCTTTAATATCATTTCCTATTTTTTGCTTCAGCTTTTGAACAAAACCTTTCATATTCTCTTTCGTTCCCACAACTGATTCTGACATTTTCCCAATTGCCTCGCCAATTTGGGGCACCAACTGTTCAATCGCACCCTGCAATGTCGAAATGCTGAGAGCATCAAACTGTGACCTGATATTCTGAACGTCGGCCCACAAAGCCTCCTTAATGTTGTGGTCGAGCAATCCCATATAGTGCTTATTTTGCCTCGCTTGTGTCAGCGCCGCTGAGGCTTCGCTCACCAACTGTTGTAGGCCTAATTGTTTATCCTCCACGTCACTATTGATCTTTCTAAATTTTCCTGCCAGATTTTGTATGCTCTCATTAATATAACGCGTAGCGTCTTCAGCTTTTTGCTTCGCTTGCTCTTCAACTTCTCCAGCATATTCCTCCAGCGTCTTCATTTGAGCTTCAACTTGATCGACAACCTTTTTCACGTCATCGTTTTGCATAGATTTCTCAAAGCTTTCCGCGGCTTGGACTATTAATTTTGTTGGAGTTTCCAACTTTTTCTTAAGCTCTTGATCCAATTTGTCACGGGCCTTATCGGCCTCATTAGCCAATCCGGCAAACCGGCCAACCTGGCGGTTCCAATGCTCCCAATGTGACTCCACGGGTAGTTGCTTCAACTCCTCAATACGCTTGTTTTGGCTTACAATATATGCACATAACCCATTTATCGGCTTCTTAACATCTTCACATTTCTTGTTCACCTCCCCTTCATACCTCCCAAGCCACTCCTTCACCTTGGTAACAGACTCCGAAAGGCCAGAACGCCCTTTGCCAATTGAAGAAGTAAGAAGTTTTAGAACATTATCTAAATTATTCTGAGTAATATGTTTATTGTATGTTATAACGTTATCATCATCCTTCACACTTTGGAGAACACCATGAAGGAAAGACATCACCCCGTCGCAGAGCCTGTCAAGGTCCGAGTACACGATTCCTTCGCCCGAGTAGCCTTTGGAGTCTTTATTGTAACCTAAAAACTTTTCCAAACCTTCAGTGAGATTTTTAAGAATATCTGTGGAAGAATTTTGGTCAACATCATTTTTTTGAATTTTATCAGCATATCCACAAAGCTTATTCAGTGTCTCAAGAGACTTCATGGAAACGTTATGAGAGTTAAGAGATTTAGAGTCTTTCTCAGGGAAATTATTTTTTGCTTTTTGAAGCTCTTCTTGAAGCCTTTTAAGTTCATTTTCATCATATTTTTGCGGGCTTTTAAGATTCTTTTCCCCCTCCTCAATTTGCTTTTTAAGCTCATTCACTTGAGACTGAAGGCTATCAACATCTTTTTTCTTCTTGTCAAGTTCAGTAATTTTACTTTGAACAGCGTCAATTACAGTTGTAATTTCCTTTTGAAGCTCAGGAATTTGTGAGAAAATTTCTTTTTTAAGCTTCTCAATGTCCTTTGTAAGACTCTCAATCTCAGGACCACCGACGGACGGCGTCCTTAAGGACGCCTCACTTTTTTCAGCAATATCTTTTTGCTTTTTAAGGCCATTAATTTTTGTTTCAAGATCATCATATTTCTTAAATGTATCTTGAAGATTTTTAAGGTCATCACGGAATTTCTTAATATTACAATCACACCCCTCCCCTCCGCAAGATGCTTTTAAAAGCTTATCAAGCTGATTTACATTACTGTGCAAACCCTTCAAAATCGCATCTTTAACTTCCTGTCCACTGCCAATAAAACCCGAAAGCTGTCCAGCGAGCTTACCAAGTTGGATACGGCGGGACTCAATATCATCCAAGGCTTTATTTCTGGCATCCTCAGTGAGGTAATGAACTTCATTGTAATGGTCATTGTAGTTGGATTAAAGGTGGATTAAGGGGTAGTTAAAAGAAGTAAAGGGGGATGAAATGGCACATTTTGAGGGCGATTTGGGGGAGTTTGGAGAAAGGCGATTTTAGGTGACGGAGGCAGCGAGGGAGGTGGGTGGACAGGGTGAGGGAGGTGAAGGGGCGAGAGAGGGCGACGAAGGAGCAAGATGGGTTGAGGTAAGGCGATATTAGGGGTTGAGGGGAAAGGCGGAAAACGAGGTTTTGGTGAAGGACGCCGACGGAGGAGGTGATGGAGGAGAGGGAGGAGGGAGCGAAGCGACCAGTGAAAGGGGAGGTGAGTGAGTATGTGAGTGGGTGGGTGGGTGAGTGAGTGGGTGAGTGAGTGGGTGGGTGGTTGAGTGGGTGGGTGGTTGAGTGAGTGAGGTGGGTGGGTGAGTGGGTGGGTGAGTGGGTGGGTGGTTGAATGAGTATGTGAGTGGGTGGGTGGTTGAGTGAGTGGGTGAGTGAGTGAGTGGGTGGTTGAGTGGTTGAGTGAGTGGTTGAGTGGTTGAGTGAGTGGTTGAGTGGGTGATACACAGATCACAGGTGAAGGCACGATTACGGTGAGAAGTACTTGACGTTGGCGAGTGCCCTGACGCGTGCGGCGGCGAGGAGCGACTGCGCGGCGATGCGGTGGCTTGAGGGCGATCTCAGGTGGGAGCGTATCCTCAGGACGTCGAGGCGGACGACGGCGATGTGCAGCAGGTACAGGAGCGACAGCGACCAGAGGGCTAACAAGAGGAAAGTGAAGAAGTTGAGAAATGTTGCAAGATTATTTTAGGCACATTATTAGGGCGATTTGGTGGAATTTGGGGAAAGGCGATTTTAGGTCAAGGAGGCAGCGGGGCAACGAGGAAGGTGGGTGGACAGGGTGAGGGAAGTGAAGGGGCGAAAGAGGGCGATGAGGGAGGAAGATGGGTTGAGAGAGGCGGTTTCGGAGGTGGAGGGGGAAAGTGGAAAATGAGGATTTGGGGTGAAGGACGCCGACGGAGGAGGTGATGGAGGAGGGAGGGAGCGAAGCGACCAGTGAAGGAGGTGGGTGGTTGAGTGGTTGAGTGAGTGAGTGGGTGAGTGGGTGAGTGGGTGATTAGGTGAGTGAGTGGGTGGGTGAGTGGGTGAGTGTGTGAGTGGGTGAGTGGTTGAGTGGTTGAGTGAGTGAGTGGGTGGGTGAGTGAGTGAGTGGATGGGTGAGTGAGTGAGTGGGTGAGTGAGTGGGTGGGTGAGTGGGTGGTGAGTATGTGAGTGAGTGGGTGGTTGAGTGAGTGGGTGAGTGAGTGAGTGGGTGAGTGAGTGAGTGGTTGAGTGAGTGGGTGGTTGAGTGGGTGAGTTGTTGGGTGGGTGAGTGGGTGAGTAGGTGAGTGGGTGGTGGTTGAGTGGGTGAGTGATTAGGTGAGTGGGTGAGTGGGTGATGGCACGATTATGGTGAGAAGTACTTGACGTTGGCGAGTGCCCTGACGCGTGCGGCGGCGAGGAGGGACTGCGCGGCGATGCGGTGCGATGAGGGTGATCTCAGGTGGGAGCGTATCCTCAGGACGTCGAGGCGGACGACGGCGATGTGCAGCAGGTAGAGGAGCGAGAGCGACCAGAGGGATAACAGTGTCAGCATAAATGGCCATCTAATTTCTTTTAGGAAATTGTCACATTCCTTGAACAGCTTCTGGAAATATTCTGACTGCAGCACATTCTTCAACTGACTACAGAAATCCTTACACTTCTTCGCTGCGCTACCACTATTCAACGTCGACGCCTCGCCGAATGTGAATCCATACTGGTAGAGCGTCGGCGCCACGCCTCTGCAGGATACTATAGATTCACACTGACAGACGGCGTCTTGTTTCTTCTCATCTTCAATGACACCATGCTTGCCACTCTTGCACTTGTCTCCTCTGAGACAACCACGGCAGCCCCAATCTGCACAAGTAATAGAGCAGAACGCATTGTAGAGATTGTTCAGTAGATCCCAGAATGTCCATGGGAGGTATATGGCCCAGGAGAGGTAAGTGCTGGAATGCTTAAATGGCAGACAGATGTAGAAGTCTCCGCATAGCGATGACATATAAGGAGCACATTGCTCACCAGGGCATGTAATAGTCATACATAGACTGGACACGTCGGCCTTTGAAGGTTCATCATCTGTGTCTTTAACAGGTTTACTCGCATGTTTGGTAGAATCATGATAACTCTGACTGCTGCCATATGCGTCACGAAGTGCGTCTGTTAGTTTATTAGGATGTTCATAAAGGTGAATAGACGTGCGGTCTATTGTTGCTTCGAAATCTGATTTTAGACCACTCTTGTTTGTGGATAAGCCTAGTTGCCAATCCTTAACAAGTGACAACACAAAACCGAAGTGCTCTGGTAGCGTAGCCGGCGTTTTCGGTTTAAGGCAGAATAGGGATCTGAGGTCAGCGTCATCGAGCATTTTGGTTAGCACGTTACATAGCTCTTTGCCCAGGCGCGTACTTCCAGAGAAACCTCTGAAGCCGAGTGGCGTTAAACATGGCTGCCCGGGCTTGGATTTGGGGCACATGGCACACTTGTAAGTACAACCAACAGACTCTAGTTGGTGAGGCAGGTGACCGGGAAGACTGTCAGTAAAGTACGACATAAGCGGTGACCTGGGAACGCACTCGGATTCCTTATCAGCAATATGCTTATCGCACTGCCAGTTAGCGTGTTTGACCTGCTTACCATATTGGCAGCCGGCCCAACCAAAGTCGGATGACAGACTATTACATTGGCTATATAAGAATCTACATACGGGAAACATTCTACGTAATATGTCAAGCAATGTATCTAAACAAGCTTCCCCGGAAGAGGGGTAACTCAAATTAAGGTAATTGTTGCTAAAGTCGGAGGCGTACAGTGTGTGTTCATCACCGGTGCCAAGGATAGTAGTGAGGATGTTACGTGAGTTGCCAGATAGGTATGGCAAACCACGCACAGCCAGTGTGGACATTATACTGTCCAAATACGCATCCTTTTCTTTTTCTTCTTGTTCGTCTTTCAGTTGCTCCGGTGTTTTCTGCTTGTTCTTTTCTTTCTCTTCCTTTTCTTTCTTTTTCTCAAGGACCGTCTTGTAATGCTGCTGCATCTTCTGGTAAGAAGAATTGAACTGTAAGCCGCAGCACCATGTAAGCATCTCGTAAACGGAGCACGGTGACTTTTTGGCGGCGAATGAAGAGATGTGGCCAACACTGAAATATTGATGAAGGTGGCTGCGGAGACATGTGAGAATGTCGAGAACATTAAACTTATCTGTCTTTTTATTTGGCTTGCACGCCTTGAGATGATCATTTCGGTCGGCGTTATCAATTTCCTTTTCAAGCAGCTTTTGACAAATATGCCCACCTGTCATATCGCCTTTACATCTCAACTGTCCATCTTGCTTGGAACCCTCACCACTGGGAATGGTGAAGCCACGATTCTTGAAAAAAAGTCCGAGTTTATTGGTCTTATTTTCGTCTGTTTCGCATATTTTGTTATGTTTCCAAGGGCCATTTGTAGTATTACATTTTTCTTTCAAATATGCCAAGTCCTCACTCACCGTCTCCAGTATGGTCAGGCAGACCTTGGCGCAGTTGCGGCCCTCAGCGGAAAGGACTTGTTCGGGTTGAGAAGGATCGGTATCTTTTTTAGTGTTTTTAACCACCCAGTCATCCGCACGTTTTTGACCACTGTACTTGTTCACGTACGCGTGTCCGAGTTGCTGGGTGAATTGCGTCATGCCGCGCCTGAGGGCGTCGAGGAGAAGCGGGTTGTGGAAGCCGGCGAACGTGGAGGGGGAGAGGGAGGAGATGGAGGAGGAAAGGGAGGAGAGTAAATCGGAGAATTTATCATCGAATATAAAAACACGTTTATTTTTAGGGTCATGTGCATTATGTTCATCGCTAAATTTACCAAGATATTTAAGTAGAGTGTCAGACGCATTTTGGATGCCTCTCACTTGGAGGGACTGTTCAGTGGGAAGAGGATTATTTTTATCTTGTGAATAATCTTTTACATGGCCTTCAGTGTACTGTAGCAGTGGATCAGCGAAATACATGAAATTGAATATGAATTTTTTAATTTCGTCTTTGGTTGGCGAAGTCGTTGCAGCTGGACTGCCTTTAGGAGACGGCGAAGTTTGCTTAGTTAAAGCATCTACAATAAGCTTAATATTCTTGCCATCTTTTCCGTACATTTTATTGATCATCCCCTTCACGCCCGTGACTGCGTCCCGCGCGATTATTGTTTGCACTTCCCGCAGTTGCTCGTCGACGAGCGCGCGCAGGGCCTGGAGGTCGGCGGCGTGGGAGGCGGAGAAGAGGGAGCGGATGGAATTTGTGAGGGTGGAGAATGATTCTTCGACTTGGGAGAGGAGGGATGTTTTGAGTTTAGTGATGCCTTTTTTAACCTCCTCTTCAGTCTTAACAACAGCTTGGTAAACGGCGTCAGCAGTATGCGTCAGTACTTCCTCAGCTTGCTCAACGTACTCTCGAATGTAATTGAAGTTATTTTCTAGCGCTTTCCTCAACTGTTCCATTTTATATTCTGCCGCCTTTTTCTTTTCGTTAATCTTCCCGTTGCTCGTTTCTTTCACAATGTCATAGAACGTATTAACATCCGTTTGAATTTCTCCGAGTTTCTTGATAATAGACCCTTGCTGGTCATCTGTCTGCTCCAGTAGTAATTTATCAAGCTCCTCAATCTTAGATTTAACGGTTTTTAACGCTTCAGTTATACTATTACCAAGTGACCCATCGTCTTCAAGTTTCCCGGGGATTGAGGTAACATCCTTTATTGCCTGCGTCAGGTTAGCAATTTTAGACGTTGAGGTGAATTTGTCCAGTTGAGCAGAGAGTTGCTTGGCGGTGGAGGCGACAGCAGTTAGTGTGGTTTTAAGAGCCTTCTCAAGATCTTTTTTCGCAACGTCATCTGAGGGTTGTTGCAAAGAAAAGTTACCATTATCTTTCAACTCTTGTTCAATCGCGAATAGGATATCATCCTCCTTATCCATTACTTCTCCAGAGAACTTAGTAAGAAATTGTACAATATCCGACAAATCGCCATCCACAGTACTATTGTTACCAAGTGGTGAAATAGGTCTGATACCCTTCAACTCAGCGGCAATCTTATCCTGAACTATCGATGTCATATGGGAGATCATCTCATCTACACTACCGCCACTTAGGTTACCGCTAAATTTATTTTTATCGTTGTTTTTGGTAACATATGCCGTAATATACCCCTTCATCGGTTCTTTATCCACTATCTCATTTACCCACTCTCCAATTAATCTTCCAAACGCTGTCTTCCCACTGAAGCCACTAGCATACGTCCCGATACCGCTTACAATCCCTTTTATTCCATCAGTTGCACCGTGCCCATATATCTGACGAAATACGAGGTTCCTAATTTCCTCCTTCAGTTTATCCCAATTCCCTATTGCGCCGGTCTTTAGCTGTGCCGTATTCTGGCCAACACTCTCTTTCAGCACCGTATACTCCTTCCAAGCACTGTTAACAAATCCGTCAAGCTCCGCTTTTTTGGTGGCTATGTTAGTATAGGCATCCTTAATTTCTGTCTTAATCTCTTCAAATTTCTCTGTGATCTTGTCTTTATACTCATGATTATAAGCTTCCATAAAATCCGCAGAATCCTTTATAGCCCTCCTTATATTACCAAATTGATTTATCCTTTTTAACCTTAGGCTTTCAATTTCTTCATTGATTTTTCTCAACTGTTCATTCAGTGTCTTGAAAACTACACGAGTGTTTTCTTTGATCTCATGCTTAATTTGCTCTTTCTGCATAAGCAACTGATCATCCACCAACTTGGCTTGCTGGATGACAGCATCATTTTTCGCCACCCTCCCCAACTGCGCCACCACCTTCTGCACGGGCTCAATTTGACGCGTTATCTTATCGCTAAGTGCGGGGTCTAATTTATTAGCATTAGTGATTATGTTGTTGTTAATGTGATTATTAATGTCAGTGACTGTCTTGGTCCACTTGGTCAGTTGCTCCTTGAGGGGCTTGTCTTGTTGTCTTGAAACATCTTGAACATATTTACCTGAATGAGATGATAAATTATTAAGTAACGTACCTAATTCATATGACACTCCTGTAGTCCTGTCATTCACCTGCATCCAATATTTTTGTAACCATCCACTCACCTTTCCAACCTGCGTACCAAAGACACTGCGTCCCTGGCCAATGGAAGAGTGGAGATGTTGAAGGACATCATTCAATTTCTCATTTGTATTAAGATAATTATCATATTTCTTAACACTCTCATCCCCCTTAACAGTCTCTAGCACCCCGTGCAAGAACGCCATCACCCCGTCGCAGAGCCTGTCAAGGTCCGAGTACACAATGCCCTTGCCAGTGTAGCCTTTGGTCTCTGAATCGAAACCTAGGAAGGTTTCTAACCCTTCAGTGAGTTTAGTTAAAAGATGCGTTGAAGATGTAGAATGAAGCATATTACGGTCACTTATTTCACTGGCCAGAGACCGATCGAACTCCCGAAGCTTTTTGATAACTTCTTCAGCCTCCTGGATTTCCTTGGCAAGCGAACACTGGCGTTTGTCATCCATGTAATGGGATTTTATACAATCTGCTTTCTGGAATTTGATACTGTCTAAATCGGCAGTTAAGGATGATATTTTGGATTTATCAAAAGATTCGGCCTGTTTACCCTCATTAATTTCAGACTCCTTTTCCGTAATTTTCGTGCTAAGGTCATTACAGTAGGACTGCGGATCATAAGGATTTGAAGAGCATTCAAGTTTTCTTTTCTTATGAGTAACGCTCTTTTCAGCTTTCTCAATAGCCCCCTCAATCAACTTTTTCAAAGCTTCAGCCAAGTTCTTAAGACCATCATCACCATTCCCATGCTTAACCTGTATCAACCAGTCGATGGAGGCCGACGAAGGAGGCCGAGAAGGGAGGTCAAAAGAGGTGACACAAGAAAGTGGAAAAAAGGTTAAAAAGGATATTAGGGGAGGTGAAATGGACACTTTTGGACAATTTTAGAATTTTTTGAGAAAGGCGATTTTAGGTCAAGGAGGCAGCGAGGCAGCGAGGGAGGTGGGTGGACAAGGCGAGGGAGGTGAAGGGGCGAAAGAGGGCGATGGAGGGGGAAGATGGGTTGAGGCAAGGCGGTTTCGGAGGTGGAGGGGGAAGGCGGAATGTGAGGATTTGGGTGAAGGACGCCGACGGAGGAGGTGAGGGAGGAGGGAAGGCAGGGAGCGAAGCGACCAGTGAAAGAGGGAGGTGAGTGGGTGGGTGAGTGAGTGGTGATTAGGTGAGTGGTTGAGTGGGTGAGTGGGTGAGTGAGTGGGTGATTAGGTGGTTGAGTGGGTGAGTGGGTGAGTGGGTGGTTGAGTGGTTGAGTGGGTGAGTGGGTGGTGAGTGGGTGAGCGGTTGAGTGGGTGGTTGAGTGAGTGGTTGAGTGAGTGGGTGAGTGGGTGATACACAGATCACAGGTGAAGGCACGATTACGGTGAGAAGTACTTGACGTTGGCGAGTGCCTTGACGCGTGCGGCGGCGAGGAGGGACTGCGCGGCGATGCGGTGGCTTGAGGGCGATCGCAGGTGGGAGCGTATCCTCAGGACGTCGAGGCGGACGACGGTGATGTGCAGCAGGTAGAGGAGCGACAGCGACCAGAGGGCTAACAACGTATTCATGAATGGTGATCTGATAATATAAAGGAATTTGTCGCACTCCTCGAATAGGTTTTTGAAATATTGTGAATGAATAATTTTACCTAACTGTTCTGCAAATCTGAAGCAGCTCTTGCGGCTATCCAGTGAATTCAAGCTTGCAGCGTCGCCAAATATAAATCCGTATTTGTATAATGTGGGCGAGACTCCCTTGCATTTTACTAGGGATGAACACTGGCAGGAAATGGTAGTTTTGCCGTGCTCGCCGTTTTTACAATTGGCGTTATTAAGACACTTGCGGCAGCCCCAGTCCTTGCATAAAATACCGTTGAATGCCTGGAGTAGATTGTTAAGATATTCCCAAAATTTCCATGGAGTATATACTGCCCAGGATAGATATAGGTTTGAATTCTTATTGCCGATGTAGCTGTAGAAGTCGTGGCACAGGGTAGTTAGGTATGGAGCACAGTGCCGCTTTAGTCTGTAACAGGGCTCCGATTTTGTTATATTCGATAGATGCGGATGTTTGCATAATACGTGACTAGCAGAGGTGGATCCATATGCATCGATAAATGTTTTGGTTAGGTTAGTTGCGTCACCGTACAGATTAATGGAAACCTTTTGATTGATGATTCAACGGACACTTGCGAAGTGGGCTTATTAACTGGTTTATGGTTAAACGTTAAATCATAATGCCAATGCCTGACGAGAGATTCAACAAAACCAAAGTGCTCTGATAGCGTAGCCGGAGGTTTGGGAGCGAGACAGAGAAGGGCTGTAACGAAGACGTCATCGAAAAATTTGGTAAGCACATCACACAGCTCCTTACCTGTCTTCGTAGATCCAGAAAACGCCGGAAACCGAGAGGTGTTAAACATGGCATTCCGGTTTGCTGCCAGGACATGTTTGACATACCGATCGGCATCCAACACTGCTTAACTGGTGTGGCAAGTGGCCGGCAGGCAGTCGTTTAGGTAGCTCATTAGTGGAGACGTTGGTCGGCACATAGGTTGACAATTTGGTTCGGCGTTTGCCTGACCATTTGGTTGGAAATTTGGTTGACTGTTTGAGTGATCACTACACGGCGATTTGGCCATAGAGGCATCTTGCCGTAGAGACATTGTTCCCATCCCCGTGCTGAGTGGTGAGGCGACACTGGCTATTTATGAATCTCAATGTAGGGAACAATCTACGCAGTATGTCAAGAAGCGTGCTGAGACAATTTTTCCCCAGAGGTAGGATAATGTAGACCTATGTGATTGCATGAAAAGTCGCAAGCGTAGTTCGTGTATGCGTCCCCCGTCCCTATGAGGGCGGTGAGGACGGCGTACGAATGTGAACAAATGTGATCAAGTGCGTAATTAACATCGTTAGGCAAAAATGACTTAGGATACGCGTCTATCGGCTTAAGTATTTTTTGAGGCGGCTGTGAGTCGTCATCCACCAGAAACAGGCTGTGAATGTGGTCTATAAGTGATTCATACACGGAATTGAACTGCAGACCTGTCAGCCAAAGTAGCATTTCGTATATGCTACAGGGTGACTTCTTGGAGGAGAAAGTAGAGAGATGACATGTCTCGGCATATGGTTTAAGGTAGCTGTGAAGCTGAGGAAGTATACCCTCCTCGTTAACTACCTCTATTGGCAGGTCAGCATCATCGTCATCACCGGTAGACCCGGTAAGGCCGGAGAGGCTATTAGCAGATGGACTAAAAAGCACATGGTTTGCGCTAGTGAGGTGCTGAAGAATATTACCGCCGTTGAACCCTGTTTTGTAATTCAATTCTCCACGTTGTATGTATTCATCACGGCCAACATCGTAACCGTTGTCTCTAAGGAAGACGCCATATAGGGAGGACTGCGGCTGCCTGGAATTATAGATTGCATACCGCCTCCAGGAATTCCCCGATTTTTCAATATTCTCTTTGAGCTCTTTTAGGCCGGTAAGAAGCATAGGGAATGTGGTGAGACACACTTTTGCATATTTCGTCGAATCATTTTCCGACCATACTCTTTCGGCATATCTATTAACGTAAGCGTCCTCTAGCTGCCTACCGAAGTCATTCACGCCGTCTTTAAGGAGATTGAGCAAATCGGCATGCTTGCCCTCTCCGAATTTCTCGGCGCTTAAGTCGGCGACAGACTTCAGTAGAGCATCTAGATTCTTGCTGAAAGTGTAATCGAAATTATACGCTTTACCTGTAGTTTTGCAAAGATGGGCAAGCAAGGCGTTGAGCGCAGTTCTGATGTTCTCAACCATAGCGGCGTGAGGGTCGTGATTCTGAGTCCCAGGCCCCTGACGTGGAGCCTTGGGACGCCTTGGTGTGAATTCTTCATCTAGATATTCAAACAGACCCTCGAAATAAACTACAGCTTTTACAGCCAACTCCGATAGTTTCATACCATCACTGAGCGAAGACCTCTGAAATTGATCTTCAAGCAAACTGTTCATTTCCTTGAAAAAACCCTTCACCCCTGTTGCTTTATCCTCCCTGATAATCTCATCTATCCTCGCCAACTGCGCCGTGACGACGGTATGCAGCTGCGTGAGCTCGGCCTGCTTCTGCTTCGCGAAGAGGGAGTGGACTTGGGCGGTGAGGGTGGAGAAGGCAGAGGAGACTGTACGGGTTACTGTTGATTCAAGAGCTTTAACAGCTTGAGTAGCCTGCTGATGCGCGGTTGTTAAAGCGACACCGACGGAAGAAATGTATTCACTTAATTGCTGGTTGGCCGTAATTACTACCCGTTCAATATTTATAACATCGCTCTGCAGCGTTTGAAATTCTTGCTTCAATTTCTCCATCTTTCTCGCCGATTCTCCTTTAGCATTATCTATTGCTGTTGGCAAATTCTCAAGATCGTTGATTGATTCCGACAGTTTCTGCATTACCCGGTAGTAAGTGGTCTTTGTGCCGTCGCCGCTACCGGATCGTTGAGTATTGTAGCCGTCAAGAGTAGCGAGATCTATTTCTGTATGGTCTCCAGAATTCTTAAAGCCATTACCAAATTTGTAGCAATCCCTTAATCAAACCTCTCAGCACACCATCGCCTCCATTTCCATTTTTGGTCTGCTCATTGTATTCGTTCATGAAAACAGGATCAAATGGCTTATTTACACGATCAGTTTTGCCATTTATGTCATCCTCTCCAACAACGTCTTTGAGCACTTTGTCGACGGCGTGGGACACCGCCCTTTTGAGGGAGGTTTGCAGCTCTTCGAAGGTTGGCTTATCAATGGATCCACCATGAGGCAGCTTGCCATTCTGAGCTTCGTCAAGACGCTTTAGAAGATTTTCTAGAGTACCTGCAAAATGGAATTGTTACTTTTGGTTTGACCAGCTGAGAGTTGAGAAAGTTTGTCAGGCAGAGTTCCAAACACGTTTTTAAGCTTATCTTCATTTAGAGATTCCCCAAGCGTCTTTACACCTGCATATTCAAAAGTGGAACCACTTTTAATCTGAGTCCAAGGGTCTTTCGCCTCCCCGCCGACTTCATAATACCGCTCCACACCCGCTCACCAAGCGTTTCTAATTGGCCTTTAATACTCTCCCTAAGCGTACGCAAATCTTTTCACTGAGTCGTCTAAGGCCGTTAGCGCCGCCAACACACTACCAGGCTCATTATCAGTTAGACCAACCGCCTTATCAACTTTCTTTTGACATCCACCAATTTTTCCTGATACAACTTCTCCAATTTCTCAACAGCTCTCTCAATGGCGTCAACCTCCTCTCAAGTTGGCATTTACTGTTTTCATCTATGCCTGCACCGGGCTTGCTCGCTTTAAGAGCTGCAGCTTTTTGTTGCAGGCCGTCGAATTTTGAGTAATAACATCTATATAATGTGCCTTAAAGTTCTGGCTGGAGTCACCAAGCAACTCAGCAACATCTTCTTTAGCGTCCTGTGCAGCCTGCTTGATGGCCTTTATGTGTTTTTTTTTTTCATTTATCAGGTTCTCAAGACTTTGTTCTATTGCTTTGCGCCCGTTTTCCAACCGTTCGTGCACCCTTCTAGATTCTGTCTCAACAGCTTTATTAATCTTCTCCTTCTGCTGCAACAATGCCTTGTCGACATTGTCAGCCCATTGCTTCACCTGCCTGTCGTCGCAGGATGATTGGAACGTTTCTACGGCCTGCGTCACCAACTCTACGGAAAGCGTTAATTTATTACTAAGAATGTCATCTAACTGTGAATTCGCAAGATCAACACCTAAGGCCGCATTACTGCACTCAGTCGCCTTTGGCACCAATACATTATTCAACTGATCACTAAGTGACATAGTATGCATATTATTAAATTCATTATTTAGTTCGCTAATTGTGGCTATGAGTGAAGTTAATTGTGATGTAACTCCATCCGTTTTTGTAGATAAAACACTCTCATACCCCCTCAGCCCACGCTGCACAATCCCAATGGCCTCGCGAAATCCAACAACACCAGAGCCCTTACCTATTTTACCTTCTAACTCACTAATTGTCCTTGTAATCTCAGGATAATAATGACTTAAAAGTGTTTGACTGCCTTTAAGACATTGAAGGAGGAAAGACATCACCCCGTCACACAGCCTGTCAAGGTCCGAGTACACGATTCCCTCTCCGGTGTAATTACCATTACTGTGGCCGAGAAATTTTTCGAGGCCTCCACAAAGGTTATCTAAAAGGTTTTTTGTGTTATCAGATTTTTTATCAACTTCCTTAGCATATCCACAAAGCGCTTCCAGTGTATCAAGAGACTCCTTGGAAGCATTATGAGACTGAAGATCCTTATTAAGTTTGTCAATTTTAGAGGCATTTTTACTATTATTATCATCATTATGCTGCTTTTTAAGCTCAGAAATTCTTTGATTAAGCTTCTCAATTTTCTCAGTAATTTCATCATTAAGCTGATTTAAGGGACCAACAGACGGATTTAACTTGCACTTAGAAAGGATTTCAGTAAGATTTACAGGAGTTTTTTGTTCATCTTTAAGCTTATTTTTAAGGCTTTCATTGACTTCATTAAGCTTTTTAATTGCCTCATCAACCTTATGACACTTCCCATCTCCGCAAGATGCTTTCAAAAGCTTATCAAGCTGATTTACATTACTTTGCAAACCCTTTACAAGTGCATTTTTGACTTCCTCTCCACCGCCGACAAAACCCGAAAGCTGTCCAGCAAGCGTACCAAGAGAGATACGGCGGGAATCAATATCATCCAAGGCTCTTTGTCTGGCATCCTCAGTAAGGTAATGAACTTCATTATAATGGTCATTGTAGTTGGATTAAGGGAGGATTAAGAGAGAGTTAGAAGAAGTAAAGGGGGATGAAATGGCACATTTTCAGGGCGATTTAAGGGAATTTGGGGAAGGGCGATTTTAGGTCAAGGAGGCAGTGAGGGAGGTGGGTGGACAGGGTGAGGGAGGTGAAGGGGCGAAAGAGGGCGATGAAGGAGGAAGATGGGATGAGAGAGGCG